AGGAGAGGAGAGAGAGAGGGAGGAGGAGAGAGAGAGAGAGAGAGAGAGAGAGGAGAGAGAGAGAGAGAGAGAGAGAGAGAGAGAGACCAGCCATACTCACAGGTCTCGGGCAGAGCTCCCTGCAATACACGCGTGATTCGATAGATGGCGTTGACGGCCAAGATGGTCCACTGGTTCTCGCGGCTGCCCAGGTACGTCAGTACGGTGGAGAAGCGCAGGCATCCGGCGGCCGTGCTCAGGAACACGCGCACGTGGCGCGGCAGACCCGACAGCCGGCAGGTCACGCTGCAGCGCAGCGCCTGGGGATGCGGCCGGACGAGGTTAGGTCAGCACTGGAAAGGACCGGTGCGCGTCAATTTACGATGACTCGAAGTGAGGGGGATAGCTCTAGATGTCTTTTGGTGTCTGACGCTGGGTCTTCGGAAGATGGAAATAAGTGCCATCATGGACTGAGCTGTTCACTGCGCGCGAAGGGGGCAATCGTAAACACGGATGCATGTATCAGTCGGAAACCGGACAGCATCACACATACTAGGCAGAAAGGGGAGAAAGACCAGGAGCAACATGTCTCTCACAATCATTTTTGAGTTATCTGGAGAAGCATTGTCCTACTACACACTCATGGTGAGAATCCTAGCGTCCTGCACATACATATTTTCGCTGACAGACGAGACGAAACGCCAGCATGTTGCCCTGTCCCAGTCCAGCCGTCTCTGACACTCATCGCCGCCAGCCGGCCGCTCTGCCAGAGCGCGGACCCGGTTCCGCAATGCCCTGCCCTGCCTGCCCTGTCCAGTCCTGTCCTGTCCTGTCCTGTCCTGTCCTGTCCTGTCCTGTCCTGTCCTGTCCTGTCCTGTCCTGTCCCGTCCTGCTCTGTTCTGTTCTGTTCTGTTGTTCTGCTCTGCCATGCTCTGCTCTGCTCTGCCCTGCCCTGCCCTGCCTTACCCTACCCTACCCTACCCTACCCTACCCTACCCTGCCCTGCCCTGCCCTGCCCTGCCCTGCCCCTGCCCTGCCCTGCCCTGCCCTGCCCTGCCCTGCCCTGCCCTGCCCCGCCACTGACCTCCAGGCAGAGGAGGGCGAGCCGAGCCAGCGCGCGGCCGGCCCGCTCCGGCGGCTCCAGGTGGCGCTGCGCCGTGTGCCGGCCGGCGCAGTAGGCCTGCGCGGCTGCGCTAAGGCGCAGCAGGCGCCGCCACATGGCCGGCTCCCGCAGCCGCTCCTCCAGCCGCCGCGTGTACTTGCGGTATCGGTCGCTGGCGAACGCCTGGCGACGGGTCACTGGTCAGCGTACCAGGCAAGGCAAGGGAGGGTCAGGAGTGCTAGTCACAGGCGAAGTCTTGCCGAACGAGCACAGCTAAAAACAACAGGTCTGAAACATGGTCAGAACGTGAAAACTGGTGAAAAAAGCAGGTGAAACAGTTCGTCACAGGGCCGGTCCGAACACCGTGTACCACAGTGCACGGGCCAGCTGTTGACTGCCTGCCGTACCTGGTCCGGCGAGGGCAACTGCTCACAGAGCTGGTCCAGGTGTTGACACAGCGCCACCTCCGCCGCCCCGTACAGCGCTGATTCTGAGAACTACCCACCATCTCCCGTCAAATGAAACGACGACCAGAGCTGACGTGGGCGAATGGAGATGTCAGACACGCAGGACACATAAAACCGACGCGTTTTACACAGTTAATTGATACACCTAATAATCAAATGAAACGCTCTGAATGACTGTCTGTAGTTTAGCAGACTGGTATGCTTAGAGAACATATGACAATTTCAACACGACGTCAGTACATGTATCAACCGTCGCTGACGAGCGACCAACAAATGGTAATTATAACATAACGCCAGCACATATATCAACCATCGCTGACGACTGACCAATCACCTGCTTCTGCGCCGAGAGCAATAAAGGCGATACCATCTGATCACAAGGTCATCCCATCGTGTCCGCAAGGTTAGACGCATTGCATCACCGGGAGTACTCACCGCATCACCAGCCAAGTTTGGACGAGTTCAGGATCACACCTGAATACCGCCGGCCGAGCCCAAGCTCCGCGGCCATACCTTGCCGCCATACCTTGACCCCGTTACGACGCAGGATGGGCGACGGCATGCAACGACAGCCTGCTAGTTCGGTTATACTGAGTTGCAAAAAACTGGCGCGCTATCACCCGAGACAGGCGTCCGAAGCGCTCACGGGGGACACGCGACCTGCGTCGGTTCGCTGCCGCCGGCGCCGCTGTCAGAGCCGCCCTGAGCAGCAGAGGGGCCGGTGCTGTCCGCGGCGCCGGCCGCCGGCGGCGGGAGCGGCGCGGAGCTCACCTCCGCCTTGCCCAGGCCGGGCGTGAAGCAGTGGCTCAGCACGGCCAGGTCCGTGCCCGGAGCCAGCAGGACGGCCTCCACCTCGTCACGGTCGAGGCGCGCCAGCAGGCGGGCGCACTCGCGGCCCGGGGCTGCGCTCCAGCCGCAGCTGGGGAGACGCGGGGGGGGGGGGGGGCGTCAGCGGCACCGGCCCAGTCCGACCGATCACAACACTGCCGGCATCCCAACAGAACACAACCTTCCGCAGCCTCCACCTTCTCGGTCACGGTCCAGCCCATGTGGCCATTCTTGGGTAAATCTCTAACAGCAAGTGTCACCTTGACGTTAGACAGGCAACAGAAAGGAAGCCGGAGCGCGGTAACCGGACGGTACCTAGGCCCTCGCAGGGTGCGCTCACTGCCGTACCAGTGACCTGGGGCACAGCAGGCCAACAGGTCAGCAGGTCAGCAGGTGGCGTTGCACCGCCGCACCACTCACGTGTCTCTGACCAGGTCGAGGAACCAGGCGCGGCCGGCGACGGCCGGCGGCCCGGCGACCGGCCGCGGTCCCCCGTCCGCTCGCAGCTCCACGGCCACGCCGAACGTCCGGCCCAGGCGAGTCAGCAGCGAGACTAGCTTCGACTGACTGCCGGAGGCGGGCCGGCCGGCCGGCGTCACGTCACGGGCGACGTCACGTCACAGAGCGCAGTCACGTAACGTCACATCAGGGCACGACAGCTGCTCACGGACTACCGGTGTGACGTCATGATTTTCTCCAGTGGATTGCATGCGCAACAAAAGCTCAGCATACGGAAAGCGACGCGCGCATGACATGTACAGATGCAGTGGAACACAAAGAAATTTAGCGATACGCTTGGCCACCTGCCGATGGAGCGCTCTTTTGGAAGAAGGGACAGATACGTGTCGAAAACGCACATGGACGTTCATAGGCTGACAACCATACACCTTCTCCTAGTGATGCATCAGCATTTCATCACAATCCGGTAGGTTCCCACAGAGTGAAAACAAAACTACGTGCTGGTACCGCAGTAATTCTCAGCATGCAATCAAAAGTGTGTGCGCCGTGGACGCACTATTGCTAACACATACCACATGAGTGTAGGCTCCTTGGAGATATTGTCAACAAGTTCATTGAAGTCTTCCTCCGATATCATACGATCTTCAGCAGCCAGCACGATCTCCAGCTTCCTGAAAGTTTTCAAACCAGCCAGTCGTCTTGTTATGCGGTAGGCGACCAAGTAACACCACGCAAAAGCGGAACGATCTCGCACGCATGACAAACCGCGAACACCCCACTGAACAGCGCAGATGACGAACAAGCTATGGGTGTAACCAATGGAGCGGTAAACGGTGCAAATGTGGGATGGGGGATGTCCTTTCCAACCTTCACAAAGCGGGACTTCATCCCAGTCCATTCTGGCCCGCTAACAGAGCGTTTTTCACATTTTAAGACCCAAAATGGCATTTTCAGGGCAGGTTGTCCCCTTCAATCCCCCAATCCTGATTTGACCCAGGGACCTAGTTAGCAACCCATCCCGTCATGAGGTGGCCACCCACTCCGGCTGATATTCCAGGACAGGCGGCGCCGCGGCAGCTCCATCTCGTACAAAGCCGCGCCGGTACAGGCGGCCCGTCATGACCTCATCAGAGCCTACTGACCTGCAGGCCAGCCGGACGACCTCGTCGGCCACGGCCAGGTGGTGCGACATCATCAGGCGGCGGGAGAGCAGCAGCAGGAGGGGGCCGTACTGGCCGGCCGGCGCGCCCTCCAGGCAGCGCAGCACGCGCTGAGCCATCAGGGGCTGACGGCCGGAGGCACGGGGTCACCGGGCGCCCACACAGCGGAGCAGCTCATACTGGCCGCCGAGGAGCTGTCTCAGCGGTCAGTGCGAGCAGGTTACATGCTGCGGCTGTCTGGCTGCACTGCCCTGACACTGCGCAGCGCCCATGCACAGCCAAATGCAGCATACGCGAAGCGCGCAACACGAGCCAGCCAATGGCGTGGGACACGCGAAAACCGGGCGTTTCAATCATCGGCTACGCTTGTGCTCGCGTGGCATGCTGTGTACGATATGCGATGACACACCACCTTAGATGACGGGCGACACGAGAGGCAGTTAACCAACCTAAAACCCTCCGCATCATCCAGCAGAACGATAGTTTCCTTCAGCTCCACGGGCACACCTGCCTCGACACAGCCTCCCCCCCCCCCCCCTCCCCCCCCCCCAACCTGGCCCGGACCCGTACCAATAGCCTGCCCTGAAGTCACAAGCCCTGGAATGGACCTCCCGGTCCCGCTGACGGGCCCGGCCTGACCTGACCGTGTGTCGCACCAGACCACCTGACCCCGTGCGCCGGAGCGCCACAGACCTGGTCCAGGTGCCGGCAGCGGGCGGCGATGGCCTGGATCAGCAGGCCGGACGCGGACGGGTTGCGGTGCAGGGCGTCCAGCATGTCGAAGACGGGCGGCTCGGCACTCAGCGCCACCAGCTCGGTGATGTGCGACGTCAGCAGCCAGGCCAGCAGCTCGCCGTCCGACGTGTTCTCGCACTGGCACAGCAGGGACACAGGTTACAGGGAGTCAGCAGCTCGCCGTCCGACGTGTCCTCACACTGGCGCAGCAGGGCCATGGGGCACAGGAGTCAGTAGCTCACCATATCACAGGTGTAGCAGGGACACAGGCCACAGGGAGTCAGCAGCTCACCACATCACAGGCTCTCACACTGGCACTGCAGGGACACAGGTCAAAGGGAGTCAGTAGCTCGCCGTCCGACGTGTTCTCGCACTGGCACAGCAGGGACACAGGTCACAGGGAGTCAGCAGCTCACCACATCACAGGCTCTCACACTGGGACAGCAGGGACACAAGTCATATCTAGCGAGCAGTGCACTGTCAGACCTTGTCCCACACGGGAAAGGCAGATGGAAGAGTGACACGAGGGCGGCCGAATCCTTTGCGCTCCGCCAGACCACTCATATCCAGCCAGCTAACCATAGCCAGTAGGCTGCAGCTGCTCAACCCCACGCATCACAACCAGCATCAAAAGGCGACCTGACACCCCAGCAGAGCCCAGCAAGGCGAGCCTTGTGCTTCACGCACCGCCAGATCACGCCAGGCACGAGAACAGCACCGCCCGGCGGGTGAGCGGCGCCGGCCCGCCGGCGGACTCTCACCATGTAGTCGCAGAGCAGGATCAGCGAGCCCTTCCTGACCAGGTCCAGCGCCAGGCAGCCGCCGGAGTCCCGGCTGGAGGCCAGGCTCAGTGAACGGATAGCGGGGCGTCTCAGGGGGGACACGCCGTGTGCACGCAACGCGATAAGGGCTCTCAGCGAACGCCATGCAGGTAGGCGTCAACACAGTGCACGAAAGGTTCGAGTTAACGCGGTGACGGTGCGAACGTCCGATTCCTAAGGCTTCACTGAGTGCAATCGCATGCGACCCAAGTGAAGCGCAACCCATGTCACAACTCGATGGAATAATCTCAGTGACAAGAATTATGATCAAGGAGTCCTACTCGGAGCTGGACAGCACCACGTGGGACCCAGCAGGAGCCGCTGCGCTGACCTGCTGCTGACCTGGTGCCGCCGAGGACTGACCTGGGGTCGCGCGGCGGCTGCGCCAGCGCGCGCCAGAAGTCGAGCTGGCTGTAGTTGAGCAGGGTGAGCAGGTTGCACCAGCAGAGCAGCAGCACCGGATGGACGGTGGCCAGCGTCAGGAAGGCCTGGTTGGCCGGCGTCAGGTCGAACAGACCCTCCGAGACCAGCCACATGGCGCAGCGCGCGCACTCGCCGAACGAGCCTGTCGGGACGGCCAACAGTGCAGACCGCTGAGGCAGCGGACAGAGCCCCAGACACGGCAGCAGACGGCAGCAGACACGGCATCAGACACGGCAGCAGACACAGCACCAGACACAGCACCAGACACGGCAGCAGACGGCAGCAGACACGGCAGCAGACGGCAGCAGACACAGCACCAGACACGGCAGCAGACGGCAGCAGACACGGCACCAGACACGGCAGCAGACACAGCACCAGACAGCATCAGATATAGCTCCAAACACGACATCAGACGGCAGCAGACACAACACCAGACACGGCAGCAGACGGCAGCAGATATGGCATCAGACGGCAGCAGACACAGCACCAGACACGGCAGCAGACGGCAGCAGACACAGCACCAGACACGGCAACAGACGGCAGCAGACACGGCAGCAGACACAGCACCAGACCATCAGATATAGCTCCAAACACGGCATCAGACGGCAGCAGACACAGCACCAGACACGGCAACAGACGGCAGCAGACACGGCAGCAGACGGCAGCAGACACAGCACCAGTCAGCATCAGATATAGCTCCAAACACGGCACCAGACGGCAGCAGACACAGCACCAGTCAGCATCAGATATAGCTCCAAACACGGCATCAGACGGCAGCAGACACAACACCAGACAACATCAGATATAGCTCCAAACACGGCACCAGACGGCAGCAGACACAGCACCAGACAGCATCAGATATAGCTCCAAACACGGCACCAGACGGCAGCAGACACAGCACCAGTCAGCATCAGATATAGCTCCAAACACGGCATCAGACGGCGGCAGACACAACACCAGACAACATCAGATATAGCTCCAAACACGGCACCAGACGGCAGCAGACACAGCACCAGACAGCATCAGATATAGCTCCAAACACGGCATCAGACGGCAGCAGACACAGCACCAGACACGGCAACAGACGGCAGCAGACACGGCAACAGACGGCAGCAGACACGGCAGCAGACGGCAGCAGACACAGCACCAGACAGCATCAGATATAGCTCCAAACACGGCACCAAACGGCAGCAGACACAGCACCAGTCAGCATCAGATATAGATTCAAACACGGCACCAGACGGCAGCAGACACAACACCAGACAAAATCAGATATAGATCCAAACACGGCACCAGACAGCAGCAGACACAACACCAGACAACATCACATATAGATCCAAACACAGCACCAGACATCATTGGACACAACACCATACACAGTGCCAGACAACACCAGACACAACGCCAGACAACACCACACACGGTACCAGACAACACCAGACGGCACAGACACAACATCAGACAGCATCGGACACAGCACCAGACAGCACCGGACACCGCAGCTCTGAACGGCAGCTACGGCGTCAGCTGCAGCTGAGCGGACAGCTCACATCAGCCGTGGTGGCTCTCCCGCCCCAGCTGACGCCAGATCGAGCCGCGCGCACTCGCGCTGTGACGTCCCCGGACGGGATTCGCAGGGTTCACCGCCCGAAGGCGCGCAGCGTTCCAAAATGCATCCAGTAGGGTATGCAGGATGTGAAGCCAAATTTGTGCTCCCGCAGTTCTGGCCCTCCGGCAGCCTCCGCAGGCGATTCCGTTGGTGCTAACCCGCTGCCCTTTGACCCGGAGCATGACATCTGACCTGCCCGACCCTTTAATGAAGCCGGAGGCGCTAAGATGCTGGGCTGATCGCCGCCCGGCTCGACGCTGGCTGGCCGGTTCTGAGCAAGGGAAGAGGCAACAGGCAGCCAAGCCCAAGCCGGGAGTGCAATAACATGACAACAAACATCAGCGTCTCTGCCACCCAAGTGGCCGAACATTGTAACACCCTAGTGCCACCTGTCTGGTGCCTCGGCGGTGCCCGGCAGACGAGCTCCGACGCTGGCGGCGGGCCCGGCGGTCCGCCGAGGACGGCCCGTGCGCGACACTCACCCGACTGCACGATGTAAATGGTGATCTGGAGCAGCTGGGCTATCAGCTGCGGCAGCAGCGTGGTGGTGCCGGACATGACCGGACTGGCCACGACCGAGGCCAGCTGGCCCACCAGCAGCTCCACCGACGACAGCAGGAACCTGACACAGCGGCGGCGTCACAAACAACAGCACCCTCTGTGGCGCAGGCTCGTACCGGGCTAGATAAGCTGCACCCGCTGGCCGAATGCTACACGTAGGCTGGCGGTGAAATAAGGTCCATACAGACGGCACATGGGTGCAGCCATCGCTGCTGCCTGTTCCGCTAAATCCCGGTCCCTCCCCTGACAACGAACTCCCACCAGCTGACGGCGCACTCTCCCTCACCCGACCACGATCTCCCTCCCGCTGATGGCGTACTGCCACCCCACCCGACCGCGATCTCCCGCCAGCTGATGGAGTACTGCCACCCCACCCGACCACGACCTCCCACCAGCTGATGGCGTACTGCCACCCCACCCGACCGCGATCTCCCGCCAGCTGATGGAGTACTGCCACCTCACCTGACCACGATCTCCCATCAGCTGATGGCGTACTGCCACCTCACCCGACCGCGATCTCCTGCCAGCTGATGGGGTACTGCTACCTCACCTGACCACGATCTCCCGCCAGCTGATGGCGTACTGCCACCTCACCTGATCACGATCTCCCGCCAGCTGATGGCGTACTGCCACCCCAACCGACCACGATCTCCCTCCAGCTGATGGCGTACTGCCACCTCACCTGATCACGATCTCCCGCCAGCTGATGGCGTACTGCCACCTCACCTGACCACGATCTCCCTCCAGCTGATGGCGTACTGCCACCCCAACCGACCACGATCTCCCGCCAGCTGATGGCGTACTGCCACCTCACCTGACCACGATCTCCCATCAGCTGATGGCGTACTACCACCTCACCTGACAACGACCTCCCACCAGCTGATGGCGTACTGCCACCTCACCCGACCACGATCTCCCTCCAGCTGATGGCGTACTGCCACCCCAACCGACCACGATCTCCCGCCAGCTGATGGCGTACTGCCACCTCACCTGATCACGATCTCCCGCCAGCTGATGGCGTACTGCCACCTCACCTGACCACGATCTCCCTCCAGCTGATGGCCGTACTGCCACCCTAACCTGACCACGAATCTCCCGCCAGCTGATGGCCGTACTGCCACCTCACCTGATCACGACTTCCCGCCAAGCTGATGGGTACTGCCACCCTCAACCTGATCACGATCTCCCGCCAAGCTTGATTGGCGTACTGCACTCCCCTGCTCACGATCTCCCTCCAGCTGATGGCGTACTGCCACCTCACCTGATCACGATCTGCCGCCAGCTGACGATGCACCGTCCCCTCACCTGACAACAATCTCCTGTGCGTTTACGGTACGCTGCCGGTTGCCGTAGAGTTCGGTGGTGGCCAGGCCGAGATCGTCGACGCGCGCCAGCAGCACCTCCTCGCGCACGTGCGTCACCAGCACGCGCAGCAGGGCAGAGAGCATGCCACCCCAGCGCTGCACGTCCGACACCGACGACTGCCGGCGGCGGCGGGCCGGCACGCGGTCACGTCACGGGAGCGGCAGGGGCGGGAGGTCAGGGAGCAGACGTCAGTGGCGGGAGGTCAGAGCACACTCGATGGGGGGGTTGTCGTTCGCCCCGGCCAGTGGTGACGCGATGGCGTTCACTTGGCTTGGTTTGGGCAGCGCAGTTGGGGTCTAGACCCGACTATGATCACATGGAAGACTGAACAAAAAACCTCGCTTAAAGAACCGCTTTCTGAGAGATGTCGTTAGCCAGGTCGCCCACGTCGCACCAGAAGCTGGTCCGAAGCCTGCGCGCGTCCGCCTGGTGTGGCCACACGCCGCGACAGTGCCGGCTCTGGCACAGCCCGGCCGGGCCTGCCTCGGCGCGTGTCCACAGCGGGCGCCCGCGCCCTGCCGGCGCCGCCTACTGACCACGCCGACGGGCTGCCGGAGCAGCGTGGCGAGCAGGTCCTCGGCCGGGCGGACAGCGCGCGGACAGAGCGCCGCCAGCAGCCGGTGCAGCGCCGCCAGCGCCGCCGCCGAGTCCAGCCGCACGTGCAGCTGCAGCAGCGGTGGCAGCAGGGCGTCCAGCGCGGCGCGCGAGGCCAGCCGCCAGCGCTCCTCGCCGTCGCGCCGCGACTCGCAGACGGCCAGCGCCACCAGCTCCAGCACCTGCCGCCGGCAGGATGACTGTCATACACAGACGGACAGCGCCACCAGCTCCAGCACCTGCCGCCGGCAGGGTGACTGTCATACACAGACGGCCAGCGCCACCAGCTCCAGCACCTGCCGCCGGCAGGGTGGCTGTCATACATAGACGGCCAGCGCCACCAGCTCCAGCACCTGCCGCCGGCAGGGTGACTGTCATACACAGACGGACAGCGCCACCAGCTCCAGCACCTGCCGCCGGCAGGGTGACTGTCACACACAGACGGACAGCGCCACCAGCTCCAGCACCTGCCGCCGGCAGGGTGACTGTCATACACAGACGGACAGGGCCACCAGCTCCAGCAAATCTCACATATCTCAGTGCACTTGGATACTCCGGAATCTAGCCTGAGTTTCCCAGCTCCCAGTGTTTCGTCTCCACACGTCACAACACCCCTCCCTACACGGCCGGGTCCGGCGGCACCGCACCTCCGGGTACTGGATGAGTCGGAGCAGCATGCTGAGCAGCACCTCCTTCTGCGCCTCCAGCTCCTTGACGTCCTGCACCGACGGTCGGGTCGACACGAACAGGTCCTCCACGATGGGTCGCAGGGCTGGTAGCGCTGCAGGGCAAGGGGCGGGTCAGGGCGCGGACCACGCTCGGCGGAGCGTGCCGGCCTCGGCGACAGCCTCACACGCCAGCTGAGCAACAGCCCTGGCGGGACAGCGCCTGCCTCGGCGACAGCCTCACACGCCGGCTGAGCAACAGCCCTGACGGGACAGCGCCTGCCTCGGCGACAGCCTCACACGCCGGCTGAGCAACAGCCCTGACGGGGACAGCGCCGGCCTCAGCGACAGCCTCACACGCCGGCTGAGCAACAGCCCTGACGGGACAGCGCCGGCCTCAGCGACAGCCTCACACGCCGGCTGAGCAACAGCCCTGACGGGACAGCGCCTGCCTCGGCGACAGCCTCACACGCCGGCTGAGCAACAGCCCTGACGGGACAGCGCCTGCCTCGGCGACAGCCTCACACGCCGGCTGAGCAACAGCCCTGACGGGACAGCGCCGGCCTCAGCGACAGCCTCACACGCCGGCTGAGCAACAGCCCTGACGGGACAGCGCCGGCCTCAGCGACAGCCTCACACGCCAGCTGAGCAACAGCCCTGACGGGACAGCGCCGGCTCGGCGACAGCCTCACACGCCGGCTGGCAACAGCCCTGACGGGACAGCGCCGGCCTCAGAGACAGCCTCACACGCCGGCTGAGCAAACAGCCCTGACGGGACAGCGCCGGCCTCAGAGACAGCCTCACACGCCGGCTGAGCAACAGCCCTCACGGGACAGCGCCTGCCTCGGCGACAGCCTCACACGCCGGCTGAGCAACAGCCCTGACGGGACAGCGCCGGCCTCAGCGACAGCCTCACACGCCGGCTGAGCAACAGCCCTGACGGGACAGCGCCGGCCTCAGCGACAGCCTCACACGCCAGCTGAGCAACAGCCCTGACGGGACAGCGCCGGCCTCGGCGACAGCCTCACACGCCGGCTGAGCAACAGCCCTGACGGGACAGCGCCGGCCTCAGAGACAGCCTCACACGCCGGCTGAGCAACAGCCCTGACGGGACAGCGCCGGCCTCAGAGACAGCCTCACACGCCGGCTGAGCAACAGCCCTCACGGGACAGCGCCTGCCTCGGCGACAGCCTCACACGCCGGCTGAGCAACAGCCCTGACGGGACGGCGCCGGCCTCAGCGACAGCCTCACACGCCGGCTGAGCAACAGCCCTGACGGGACAGCGCCGGCCTCAGCGACAGCCTCACACGCCGGCTGAGCAACAGCCCTGACGGGACAGCGCCGGCCTCAGAGACAGCCTCACACGCCGGCTGAGCAACAGCCCTGACGGGACAGCGCCGGCCTCAGAGACAGCCTCACGCGCCGGCTGAGCAACAGCCCTGACGGGACAGCGCCGGCCTCAGAGACAGCCTCACACGCCGGCTGAGCAACAGCCCTCACGGGACAGCGCCGGCCTCAGAGACAGCCTCACACGCCGGCTGAGCAACAGCCCTGACGGGACGGCGCCGGCCTCAGAGACAGCCTCACACGCCGGCTGAGCAACAGCCCTCACGGGACAGCGCCGGCCTCAGAGACAGCCTCACACGCCAGCTGAGCAACAGCCCTGACGGGACAGCGCCGGCCTCAGCGACAGCCTCACACGCCAGCTGAGCAACAGCCCTGACGGGACAGCGCCGGCCTCGGCGACAGCCTCACACGCCGGCTGAGCAACAGCCCTGACGGGACAGCGCCGGCCTCGGCGACAGCCTCACACGCCGGCTGAGCAACAGCCCTGACGGGACAGCGCCGGCCGGGCGCCCATGGAGCGCATCAAAACAGCTTCACAGTGCAGCGGGACGGGATGGACGAGGACTCGGCTCCGCTCGGCACATACCGTACGCCTCAGGCGACTGTCCGCTGGCCACCAGGCCGTCGCAGAGCTGGATCACCTTCGGGATCGACACCACCGTCTTGGAGTGGTAGCGCTCGTAGGAGAGCACCACCAGGAAGCTGAAGATGGCCGGGATCACCTGGCTGCCCTCCCTGGTGAGCGGCGCAGGACGGCGTCAGGCGAATACGGGCGGCCGACGCGGCGCGGCCGGCGCGGAGGCGGGGCACGGCGCGCCGACACGGGCAGACACGAGCGACCGATCAGTGGCCAACGCCGTCGGTCGGTGGTCCACGAGCGGCGGGTTATCATCACACGCTAGCAGGAACACAGCACGCCGTCTGTAACGAAACCGCTAACAGACAACAGTGTAAGGGAGCTCGTTGAACAAGAGAACGAGAGCGTACATTACGGAGCAGCGCATTCTCCATCACCAATGACAGCACCCATTCTACGCCCGCAGACGTGACCGCCACGCCGACGGCTGGCCAAATTCAGGGAGCCCGCAGCCCTCTGCAACCCCGCGCCGCCGCGTACTTCATCTGGCCCTCCTCCACGTATTCCAGCTGCTTGATGACGTAGCCGATAAAGATCTGGTCGGCGTCCAGCAGGCAGTAGTTGACGCGCAGCTGCACCAGCTGGATCAGCAGCCAGAGCACCTGGTTCTGCACGTCCGGATCACTCGTCACCGTGTACAGCTGCAGACAGACGTCACGGGGATGTGTCAGCACGCGGCCGACGTCTGACGCAGTGCCGGCAGCAGACTGAAGAACGGCATACTGTAGGCTATAGACGAAAGGCCACAAATGTAGGTCAGTGTAATTCACGGAAAAGGTTATCACTCGCTGCCAGCGCTGTCTTTATCTTGCAGTCAATTGTGATGCGTTTCTATGCCGTCCTTCACTACCCTCAGCGTCACGGCCGGCCCAATTGACCTCAGTAACTACACTTGGGAGGGCATTTGGCCGGTCGGCCGCCCAGCACCAGCCGCTGAGCGCGCCGAGGAGTCCTGGACGCCCTGCACAGGTCACCAGGCTACGCCAAGCGGGCAGCTGCCGGCAGCCAGGGTCCGATCCGGCCGATGACACCACCTCTCGACCTTTAGACCGGGTGGAAGCACTGATCAAGCCTGTACTGAGGAGCACGCAGCCCAGGTCTGGCACACCGGCCGGCTGGCTAACGGACCACACTCTGGTCACAGCCGGCGGACATCTGCCATCAAGCCACCTGCCAACTGCCAGCCAGCCAAGCCAGTCAGCTGCCATCAAGCCAGCTGCGTCACAGGGTGAGTGTGTTGAGCTGCGTCACAGCCGGTAGGTCCCCCCCCCCCCCTCATGCAAGCTCGCCGGCTGCGCTGGCCCGCCGCCGCCCTTCGGCCGACGCCGCACCTTGAGCGCCTTGATGACGGACGGCTCGAAGACGCGGATGTAAGAGGCCAACGCCTGCTTGTCGGTGCCGCGCGGCGCCGCCTGTCCCGGCCGGCGGCCGTCGTACTCGGGCCGCGGCGGCGCCCTGCCGAGACAAGGCCGGCGGCCGGCGTCAGCATGCTGTCGTCATCGGCACCAGGCAGCCTGGCTGCGGCTCCCCGACACAGCAGTGGTGGGCGTGGCACGTACGCACACGGACGCTGCGACCCGAGAGTATTCCTCCACTTGAAATAACGTCAAGAGGCCACTGATCGGTAATAAACTGACACGAATGTGAGCCCTACTGCATGTTTTCACGGCGGCAGTGTCCGCCCCCCTCTCCGGCGTCCCACCGGTCTGGGACCCGGCCTAAGGTCTGACTCAGTGTCCGCCCCCTTCCCCGGCTTCCCACCGGTCTGGGACCCGGTCCAAGGTCTGACTCAGTGTCCGCCCCCTTCCCCGGCTTCCCACCGGTCTGGGACTCGGTCCAAGGTCTGGCTCAGTGTCCGCCCCCTTCCCCGGCTTCCCACCAGTCTGGGACCCGGTCCAAGGTCTGACTCAGTGTCCGCCCCCTTCCCCGGCTTCCCACTAGTCTGGGACCCGGTCCGGGGTCTGACTCAGTGTCCGCCCCCTTCCCCGGCCTACCACCGGTCTGGGACCCGGTCCGGGGCCTGACTCACGCGAGGTCGCCGGCGGTGAGGCGGCGCGTGCTGGTCACAAAGCCGGTGAACTCGACGTAGGGTCCGTTGACGCAGGCCTGGTACAGACTGGGCTCGTCCAGGTCTGCCGCGCAGGCCGGCGTCGGCGGACAGCGGGCGCACTCCCCGCCCGCCTCCGCCGAGCCGAACATGGCCCGCAGCAGCTGGAACACGGCGGCCAGTCAGCCGACGGCGGCCAGGCCCTCTGTGGAGTCGGTCACGGCCCACCGCACACTGCGCCTGGCCTGATACCGTGCGTTCAGTGCACCATGCTGGGAGACATGAGGGCCTACTAACAGGTCCGCAGCGAGCCAACACTGCACGGACGTCCGCGATGCCTAACGCCCGTCTTTCATATGACCACCGCTCTCTCCGCCGGAGGTACTCTTGGCATACCCACGAAGCATGCAACAGACTGGAACAAAGCAGCATGGCCTCTGTGCGCGCGTTGGATTTAGCACGTGGTCGGGTGGGGGTCAAATTGCCCCCCCCGAAGGTTTTTCCGGAATGGTTTCCGAACGGCGCAGCGTAACCGCGCAAAATTTTGCATAGCTGTAGACAATTAAATTGCGGTTCGTCCGACATCAAAACATTTAGATGTGTCCTGTAAGGCCACCAACCTATGGCCGGCCAGTGAGCCATGATTGCGAAGTCAATTTCTGGGGAATCGCTCAACGTGATCCACGACGGAGTTTTAAGCGCGGCCATACATCTCTGATATACTTTCTTAGGAAGCACAACAATTGAATAAACAAATTACATTGACCTAGTGTCAGATATGAAGGTCAGACCAAGATCAAAACCATCGCGTTTTATTATTCCACGGTTTACTGTAAAGGGTAGTTTCTGGTGCCCATTTCGAATTCATTGATAACAGGAACCGCATTATACACCTTCCATGGACTTTAGGTCAGAAAAGGTCGCTGACCTAAAATGAGCCAGGTCAACATTTTGTTTTTAGGAGCATACTGCCTAGCATAATCTTTGCCGCTCATTCAATTGCAAAACCCAAGGCATTCTTGTATGCTTTTGGTCACCATGACCTTCAAAAGGTCAAACAAGGTAACTGACCTTCGATGAGCTTGTGACCTTTTGCTCAGTTATTTAGGTTCTAGGGGCCCTTTGAAGACCAAGCGGAATTTGATCTTGCTTGACCTCATTTGGCCCGAAGGTCATGACCTAGGAACCTAAAACTTTAAACTAAGTGATTTCACGAACAGGTCAACACACCCTGTAAATTTGGTGTCCCTAGCTCTCTTAATTCCTGCGATATCAGGGTCGCACTGACCCCCCACCCGGGCGTGAATTAAAGAACGAGACTCGTGCGGAATAGCCACCTGTTGCCAAAAGCCACCCAGATGTGTGCGATCCCATCACTGCCAACCGCGACGTCAGACCAGTGTCCCGACCGTGTCTGCAGACATGCCGGTGTCTGCTGCAGGACGTCTCACCTGCAGCACGCAGTGCAGGGAGCGGGCCGGAGTCAGCCGGATCAGCGCGCTGAGATAGCCCAGCAGCTCCTCGGCCAGTGGCGCCGCCTGGGCCGTGCCGACCAGCTCCAGCAGCACGCCCAGCGCCGTCAGGCTGGCCTCCAGCACGCCCAGCAGCCGGGCTGAGCTCTGCGTGTTCAGCGTGATCTGGCGGACCGCGGCGCGGCGGACAGACGTCAGCGGCGGAGGGCGGGAACATACAGGAGATGCGGCGGACAGAGGACAGACGTCAGCGGCGGAGAGCGGGAACATACAGGAGATGCGGCGGACAGAGGACAGACGTCAGCGGCGGAGAGCGGGAACATGCAGGAGGTGCGGCGGACAGAGGACAGACGTCAGCGGCGGAGGGCGGGAACATGCAGGAGATGCGGCGGACAGACACCAGCGGCGGAGAGCGGGAACATACAGGAGGTGCGGCGGACAGACGTCCGCGGCGGAGGGCGGGAACATACAGGAGATGCGGCGGACAGACACCAGCGGCGGAGGGCGGGAACACACAGGAGGTGCGGCGGACAGACGTCAGCGGCGGAGAGTGGGAACATACAGGAGGTGCGGCGGACAGACGTCAGCGGCGGAGAGTGGAAACACACAGGAGATGCGGCGGACAGACACCAGCGGCGGAGGGCGTGAACACACAGGAGGTGCGGCGGACAGACGTCAGCGGCGGAGAGCGGGAACATACAGGAGGTGCGGCGGACAGACGTCCGCGGCGGAGGGCGGGAACATACAGGAGATGCGGCGGACAGACACCAGCGGCGGAGGGCGGGAACACACCGAAGGTGCGGCGGACAGACGTCAGCGGCGGAGAGTGGGAACACACCGGAGGTGCGGCGGACAGACACCAGCGGCGGAGAGTGGGAACACACCGAAGGTGCGGCGGACAGACGTCAGCGGCGGAGAGTGGGAACACACCCGAGGCGATGATCGGCTGCGATGCGTAGGCATGGGCGGAAATGTCGCGGAGCAGAGGGGGGGGGGGGGGGGGGGGGGAATAGAGAAACGACGTTGACATTATTTCGCACCAAGGAATACTCTGAGTGCATGACCTCCATCCTGTCATTGGGGCTTTACGACGCACTCAGCTGCTGAGGCTTTATGGCGTCGCCTGCCTCTCACCCTGGCAGGAAGAACGGGCACCGCGGGGAATCGAACCCTGTACCTCTGGATTCCCAGACGCGCAGACTACACTACCGGCACCCTTTTTTGAGTGTATGAAACATCCATCAATGACTCATGGCACGTGTCAACGCAGAGTACACAATATTATATCTTAACCGGTTGGTGTTTGGCGATTCCGGCGAATACATCCGCTCCTCTATTGGGTCGAGTACATGCAGTTTCATAGCTCCGTTGTCTTTCACTACTTTACGCATCCCTCCCTGTAACACTTCTGAGGAATCTGACACCACGTAGCGGTGGTGAACAGGAAACGCGATGCACGACTTAGGAAATAGCGCGCCCAACTTAGCCCGTGATGCGCAATCGCTAGGCATAACGAATGTCGTTTGGCGGAAATTTCAGTAAAAATTCGGAGTATTGCAGTACTTTGTATGTCTCGTAGATCGTCCTGAGCATGGCGTACAGCTTCTGGTATTCGGTGGAAGACATGAAGAAGCCCACGCTCTGACTGGCCTTCTTGTCTGCTTCCTTCTCATCCCGCTCCTGGGGAGCTGCAAACGGATAATTGCCAATCTGAGTGGGCCGTTTGAATGGCCGTAAGATCGGCGCATGTGAGCGTTCTAGTAGACAGAATTATCTGGAAAAATAATACTGCACAGGAGTAAACAACCACAATTATCAACAAAATCACATTACAAAGGATTAAACAACTATGCAGCACAACCAAATTGCCTTACAAAAAATTACAAAGCAGTCCGCGTTACACAATTTGTGCCTCGGTAACGGCAACTAAATACAATTGCCTCCATGCAAAACTATATACATCCTTAACAAGCATTCAATGTGCTGGTACGTGTAGGCGAAGGGAGAGGGGCGGCAGCGACGCACACCGGACGTGGAGCGGGCGAGAGCCGGCGCGACCGGCGCTCCTCCGCCGGCCGGCGCACGTACCGGCCTTGTCGGCGGCCGCGGCCGGCGCCGGCGTCGGCGCCGCCCCCGCCTTGGCGCGCTCCGGAGTGGCGCGCCGCTTGATCGGGGACAGCGCGCTGGCCGACGGGAAGCCGGGCAGGCCGGACCTATCGGCGCGCGCGAGACGGTGACGTTACGTCAGAGGCGGGACACGTCATACAGGGGCTGACGGGCGCCGACATCGCCTCTGACGGATTTACGGCCTGTGCGGCCCGCTACACAGGCACCAGTCGGTGTGACAAGCGCCCCAGCAGGTGTCGGTCAGCTGACCAACACCTGCCGACCTGACCCATCGGCCTCCTCCCGCGGCCCACCCGTCCCCGGAGCCCCGTCCCCGGAGCCCCGTCCTCGGAGCCCCGTCCTCGGAGCCCCGTCCTCGGAGCCCCGTCCTCGGAGCCCCGTCCCCGGAGCCCCGTCCTCGGAGCCCCGTCCCCGGAGCCCTGTCCTCAGACCTCGGGCCGACCCGCCACCCCTGACCTGCTGGGCGGCGTCACGGGCGTGCAGTCGCCGGCCAAGTGGGTGTAGATGTTGAGCAGGCGCATCAGGTGCGCCACCAGCGGCTCCAGCAGGTCCCAGTTGGCGCGCAGCCGGTCGTCGCGGCTCTGTGAGGGCCGCGCCCGCTGCTGGTGCACACAGATGCCTGGCGGGCACGGACGGCCGGGTCACGTGGGCCGCCGGCGGTGGCTAATACGAGACGGCCGGGTCACGTGGGCTGCCGGCGGCGGCTAACACGGGGCTGACCGGACCACACCACAAATGAAGACATCCGGGCGTTTAAGGCATCTGAGGCTTCCCACAGCTACGCAAACTGGTGGTCTTTCTGCTCATTTTCCGTTGCCACCGCGGTGCCAGTCAATATTCCATTAAAATCAATGGCGCTGGTGACAGAAGTCTGGTAAATGGCACATCAAGACCGGGATTTCCGTCAGCCGTAAGAGCTTTCTCAATCAGAGAAGGCCACGGCGCCGATGACAAAGTGACAAATGACCAGCCGTCTGCTTCGGCACTAGCCGGGGCAGCCGGGGCAGCCAGGGCAGCCGGGGAAGGTGGGGCAGGCGGGGCAGCCGGGACAGGCAGGGCAACCGGGGTAGGCCGGGCAGCCAGGGCAGCCAGGGCAGCCAGGGCAGCCGGGGCAGGCGGGGCAGCCGGGACAGGCAGGGCAACCGGGGCAGCCGGGCAGTCGGGGCAGCCGGGGCAGCGGGGACAGACACGGCAGCCGGGGCAGGCCAGGCAGGCAGGGAAGCTGGGGCATGCTGGGCAGCCAGGGTAGCCGGGGCAGGCAGGGCAGCCAGGGCAGCGGGCAGACTGTCGGGGCGACTCACCGGCCGCCAGGTTGGCCGCCAGCGTCAGAAGGTTGGCGTGCGACGTCAGGTCGTGCATCAGGTGCGTGGCCGTTGCCATGGAGACGCACAGCTGGTACAGACCGCGACGGTACCTGCGCCCAGGTGGCGGCGGTGAGGCAGTGTCGGCATACACGGGAGACACGTACGTGAATTAAGGACTGTGTGCACTGCTACGAGTATTCTAGTCTTACACCAAAGTCTACACAAATAACCGCCCTTCCGCAAAACAAGATCACGAAGCGAAAACCGAGAGGGTGGATACATTAACAACAGCTTGAAGAGCAAAACGAATGAAGGCATGGACCAACCGCCGCCACTGATATAGTCATGCAGGTAATTGTAGCAGTACACATCACGCCCAATCCAGCAACATTGCATTGAGACCCCGCGAAGGCCGAGCCCACTGTCAGCACTGCGCGCCGTCGAGCCCCGGCCCGGCCCCGGCCCCGACCCCGACCCCGACCCCGACCCCGACCCCGGCCCCGGCCCCGACCCCACCGCCAGCGGCACACGTCGGGCGGGGCGCTCACCGTTTGTGGTCCACCTGCCAGGCCTCCGGGTAGGCCGTGGCCGGGAGCCTCTCCATGAGGGTGCGCAGAGCCAGCAGCGCGCCAGACTGTGGGCGGCGGCGGCAGGCGGCGGTCAGGGTCCCCACACCGTGACAGGGCGCGAGGCCGAGCCGTGCCGGGACGCACGCCCTCGCTAGAGTCGGCTACTCACGGGTAACACAGCTCGGCACGCTCGTGAGGCGCCCAGGCGGCGCAGGGAACCACCGGGCGTAGTTCACCAAGACAAATGTCAAGGATCTATTTTACTGGTGCACTATACCCTTAACGCTCAATATCAATCCGCTGCGATCACGTAACTAACCACTGCTGTCTCGGTTCTATGACTGGCGACCGTCAGATCACACAATTTGCTCAGCCACTCATCAGTGGCTACCTCCCAAACAATGTCACGCATCAGTTACATTCGCCCAGTATCATCTTCATGTGCGCATGCCAGCCAGTACATAGCTGTAGCTGGGCTCCCTTCTCAGACAACCCTCCGGGCCTGGAACCCCGCGCCGCCCTCTCCAACACCCCACAGTCGGGACAGCTGCGGCGCCCTGCCTCCACACCGGCTCTCTCACCTCCATGTGCCTGGAGTCGGTCATCGTGAGGATGTTGACCAGCCTGCCGACGACGGCCGAGAGCGCGGCGCCGGCCGGCGGCTCGGCTCGACCGGCGGCGTCGAACGGCGGCACGGCGCCGCGGCCCGGCCCGGTCACGCGCAGCCCGCTGCCCCACGGCTGCGGCCGCGCCAGCAGCGCCGCCCGCCGGCGCGCCGCCGCCTCCGCCGTCCAGCCGGCCTCCGCGTCCGCCGCCGCCACCGCCGCCACCTGCTGCACGTAACTGCGGCGCACGGCGCAGAGGTAATGCCAGGGACAACGCGCACGTCGCCACCGAGCGGCAGGGTGTCACGAATACCCTCATCGCCAGCAACGATCTAGTACAATACACGCCTTCCTGATTCTACAGCTTACGTATTCAAGAACAGCAACACGATTTAATTTTTCATTCACTTAAGGCAGAGATACACATCACGGATTGTGTCAAACAGCAGTCCGGCTTTGGACAAACAATGTCCAGCTGGCAATCCCAGCGCCACTGTCCTTGAGACGCGTGACACACCACCAGCGCCCACGGCCCACCCACCTGAGGAGGGCGGCGGCGGCCGCCTGCTGCACACGATGGTCGGCTTCCTCCAGCAGGCGCAGCAGCAGATCGTCCAGCAGCAGCTGCTGGTAGCTGCTGCCGTCGTCGGCACCCCAGCGCCAGAGCAGCTCCAGCTCCAGCAGCGGCAGCGTGCCCACCAGCGCGCAAAGATCAACCTGACGCCAGAGAAGCCGTTAGCCGCCGGCAGAGCCGGGTATTCCTGGAGATCCCATGAGGTTCGCCTGCCGTTGACGGAGCACGCTGGCCGATAGCGCACGCTCATCAGTTGTGAAATCGGACTACACTACTCGTAACAGGGACGAACAACCAGAACAACCAGACAGCACGGGCGATGTACAGGCCAACACATTCGATCAAACAACCAGACGACGGACGAACCAGGCGGACGGACGGACGAACGGCCAGAACAACCAGACAGCACGAGCGATGTATAGGCCAACACGTTCGATCAAACAAGCGCAAAGACGATGCGTGGGAGACGCGTCTCCCACCGCGTCTCGGCGTCTCCCACCGTTAGCGCATCGAGCCGTTCCGCCGCCAGCACCTCCCACCGCCCCTCAGCGGGCGGGCCGTACCTTGACGAGCCAGTAGCTGCTGTCGGCGAGCCGGAGCAGCGCGGCCAGCAGTGGCAGCAGCAGGCGGCACTCGGCTCCGCGCAGCAGCGGGCCCACGCACTGAGCCACGCCGTCCAGCGCCTGGCGAGTGGCCACGTGACTCCCGTCTAGCAGCACCTGGCGGGGCGGGCGGGGCGGCGCTGCGGTCACGGATAGCGGCACGCCTCTCCGAGAGTTACTGACAGCGGCACGCCTCTCCGGGAGCTAGAGACGGCGGCACGCCTCTCCGGAAGTTAGGGACGGCGGCACGCCTCTCCGGAAGTTAGGGACAGTGGCACGCCTCTCCTGGGGTTGGGGGCAGCAACGCGCCTCTCCTGAAGTTAGGGACAGCGGCACGCCTCTCCGGGAGTTACTGACAGCGGCACGCCTCTCCGGGAGTTAGGGACGGCGACACGCCTCTCCGGAAGTTGGGGACAGCGGCACGGCTCTGCCGGAAGTTAGGGACAGCGGTACGCCTCTCCCGAAGTTGGGGACAGCGGCACGCCTCTCCGGAAGTTGGGGACAGCGGCACGCCTCTCCGGAAGTTAGGGACAGCGGCACGTCTCTCCTGGAGTTGGGGGCAGCGGCACGCCTCTCCAGGAGACAGAAAGTGAAGCTCAGCCTGCCCGGGGCGTTTCAGAGCTCCCACAGCTGTCACAGCTATCAAAGTTATCACGGCTATCACGGCTATCACGGCCCCGGCGGGCACTCGCGGCAGTCGTACCGTTACGCACCGCACCCCAAACCATCTATGATTACATCCACAGTTACATCTGCGGATATCCTCATTTTCCTTTACCGCTGACACAGACTCTCCAGCACACACAGGCTGCTGGCACACCTGTCCGGCGGTGGGTCGGGGGTGTGTTCCCGGCGCCCAGCGCCCGGTGTCCGGGCAGCAGGGCGGCTCACCTGCTGCAGCTGCGCGAGCAGAGTCTGCGGCTGCAGCTCGGGCGGCGGCTCGACGTCGGCCGACGGCTGCAGAGCCACGGCGCGCAGGTAAGCGCCGGCCAGCTGCGCCGCCGCGCCGCGCAGCTGCGGGTCCGCGTCCGAGACGAACCCGAACACGTCCCGCAGGTGCTGACAGGTGGCTGAGGGGGAGGGGGGAAAGCATGGTCAGAGACGAACCCGAGCACGTCCCGCAGGTGCTGACAGGTGGCTGAGGGGAGGGGGGAAAACATGGTCAGAGACGAACCCGAACACGTCCCGCAGGTGCTGACAGGCGACTGAGGGGGAGGGGGGGGGGGGGGAAACATGGTCAGAGACGAACCCGAACACGTCCCGCAGGTGCTGACAGGTGGCTGAGGGGGAGGGGGGAAAACATGGTCAGAGACGAACCCGAGCACGTCCCGCAGGTGCTGACGGGCGGCTGAGGGGGGGGGGGGGGGGCCATGAGACAACGACATAATCAAACAAATGACTGTGACCGACGAACATTCCGCAAAACACAAAATATGTTACAATGTTCTCGTATCTCATAGAGACTTCTAAAATGCTTACAAGCCTGAATGTGCCATCACGCCTGCAGCACAGGGGACCCACTCACAGGCCTCAGCAGCCCCTCCGACACGGCCGGGGGTCAGCGGCGCTCACCCGATTCCGGGTCCTTGTCGATCAGCAGAGGCAGCCTCAGTATGTCGGGCATCAGGGCGACAGCAGCGCTAATACAGTTCACACTGAGCACCTTGATGCTCACGCGAACTTCTCTGTCGGGCCTGAGGCGACAAATGCACAAGTCAGTGACACAGTGCAGTTGGGAATGTATGCGCGATTACGGACATAGACACTGGAGCAACGCGCACAATGTGTGCCACAGCTTTATCCGTTAGTTGTTTTGCATACACACAGATGGCACCCGACGCCTCATTCCGTTCGCAGTCAGGCAAAACAAGAAGTCTCAAGCTGAACAGGACAACGGGTTCAGACTCGCGCCCGCCCCACCTGAGACCGCTAGGCTGGCCCGTGAGCAGGTAGCGCGAAGCGACCAGCCGACAGCAGTAGAGCAGGGGTACGCGGCCGTCCGTCAGCGAGCCCACGTCACCGGCCGGCGCTCTCTGTGGAGGACGCACGCGAGCCTGCTCAGTCGGCCCTCCAGGCGGGCCACGTCACCAGAACCAGGTCAGGTGACGTCAGCATCTGTGCCATCTCACTCGATTGGAGGCACAAGACAACATTTGATGTCAGGTTAGGGAACATGTCATAAAGAGAGGCTGCATCCCTTCCACTTGTGAAAATTTAGGACGGTCCACAGCCAAGTCTCAAGGGCAAACACCACCCCGCCAGCTGTAAAACAGCGCACTGCGACTCCGCGACTCTCAGAACTCTGAGACTCCTTCCAGCCACGCGCCGATGGCTGAAATCGTGAAACACGACCGTCGGTGGGATGGCATTTATCGCAGCAAATATATTTCAACACGAACACGTGGCCAGTACCTTACCATCAAATTGGGCAGCCACGTCTTCATGTCACCGCGCAATGTTCGACGGTGGTCTGCTTCGAGTGTTGAATAAGTATTTTCGCTATCACTGACGTATTTTCTGGGTATTATAAGCGACAACATTCTAACTGATACCCGGGTGACGAAACAGCATGCACTTTGAAGGGAATCCTAGAGCATCGTGGGCTATGTCGATGTCTGGGTATTTCAGGTGACGAGCCAGCCGACCTCTGCCTTTGACCCGGGTGACTACACCCCAGCGAGTCATCTGACCCCTGGCACCGACCCGGGTGCCTACACCCCAGCGAGTCATCTGACCCCTGGCACCGACCCGGGTGCCTACACCCCAGCGAGTCATCTGACCCCCGCCAATAACCTAGGTGCCTGCACCCCTGCGAGTCATCTGACCCCTCGCACCGACCCGGGTGCCTACACCCCAGCGAGTCATCTGACCCCCGCCAATAACCTAGGTGCCTGCACCCCTGCGAGTCATCTGACCCCTCGCACCGACCCGGGTGCCTACACCCCAGCGAGTCATCTGACCCCTGGCACCGACCCGGGTGCCTACACCCCAGCGAGTCATCTGACCCCGCCACTGACCTGGGTGTCGCCGTCCGGGGAGTCGGGCGAGTCGTCCGTCGGCGGTGAGATGTCGTACCGCAGCGGGTCGATGACGTCATCGGCCGGCGGGGTGCTGACCCGCAGGGGCGGCTCTGAGGATGTACAGAGGTCAGACGCGTCTCATCTCGCGGCACAAAAGCATAATCAGGCTCTTTATCTCTCGCCTAACTGTAACGGAGTAACGATTTCCAGCAAACTAAGCGAGCGGCATGAACCGAACTTCAACGGAGAGCGCCATCTGTGGGGGCCAGACATAAACCATCCGCACTGAACGGGCAGCACTAGCTACCGGTGGTGCATAAGCCGTTACAACGTACACTTCGGGCACCGGAATACTAAAACATGCAGCCACTTCCATTAAATTTCAAATAGAAAAAGCTGGTCACCACGGTAACAAAGCATCACCTAACTTTAAGACCGGCCGCCACCAGCCGTGTGTTGGCCAGTATCCAAAACAGGTTCAATGCCTGCAAAACCTGACCAACTGGCCTCCGATAATCGCGGCGACATTTTGATGCTGCTGACAAGACTGAACAAGGCTTCACGCATGAAAGCCGCAGTTTGTGGCACGTCAGACCAGTCGTCAACAAAGGGTAAACAGCGTAGATTAAAATAAGAAACCACGGAATCAAGAGCATTAGGGGCGAACGGATACCGTTCGTCCTTCCAGCACGGTGGCGATGTCTAATCTGGCTACCACTCCACGGCGCGACAAGACGGATTTGCGAATGGCACGAAATGAAGAGTGACTTGAAATTAGATCATAGTGCACGGACAACCAGTGAGTTAACAAACAAAACATTCTAACCCACGCGTCTAATGTGTAATTGAATCCCATAGGTCATAAGCCATCACAAGCCTGCCCCAAACCAAACTCCCAGCATCCATCACTTTCTCACCAGTAAGCGTTTTCCAGCAACAGTTTCAACACCCACACGAAAGCGATCAAGTTGCATGCTGTCTGATACCGTGAATGACCTTCCCCACAACACCGGCCAATGGTCCACAGTCTGTACAGATCACGAGAGAGTCAAACACATCTCGATGTCAGGAGAGGGTCCTGAGTGAGTCAGACACGTCCTCCCTCGATCTCAGGAGGTTTGGGAGGGAATCAGACAACCCCTCCGATGTCCGGAGAGGGTCCGGAGCGCGTCAGACACGTCCTCAATGTCAGCGGAGGTTCGGGAGGGAGTTACACCGCTCCTATGGTGTCGGTATCCGTCTAGGAGTGTGTCTGTCACCTACCTCCGGCGTATGCGTGGATCCGAGGCCGCGCGACACCCGCCGCGGCGTGAGCGTGGGTACCGAGACGCGTCCACCACCTACCGTCGGCTTCGGCGTCGGCATCAGCGTTAACGTCGGCGTCGGCGCCAGCGTCGGCGCCGGCGGCGGCAGCGGCGGGCGGCGGCGGTGTCCCTGGCGCCGGCTCGGCCGGCGGCGGCTCCTCGCCGGGCCAGATCAGCGAGTCCGTGTCGGCCACGTCCAGCTCGTCGCCGCCGCAGGAGGGCGCCACGCTCAGCACGCCTGCGCCACACGCCCTGTCACGACTGGCGGGGCTCACGGCACCCCACTCCCGGGCCCACGGTGGCCGCACGCAGGCCGCACCCCACACGGCCCCAGCACGCGCCCGAGAGCGGAGGCAGGTGCACTGGGGGAGCCGCAGAGGACCGGCCAAAGGTGTGGATTGGCACTTATGTGGATAGCACAAAGCTGGGGAACATGAAGCACGCCCACATGTGTGGAGGGTTTAACACATGGTGGCTTCATGGTCGTTTCAGAGCGATTTAGCATGTAAATAATCAAAGCAAAATTAAAATTTCGGATATGTGGAGCCATACTATGACTGATTTTGCTGTGAAGAATATTGTTGCATTCTATTTTAAAAATTAGGTTGATGCACAATAATACTGGAGGACAGTTAAATGAATGCCAACTGCCAATAAACACCTCATATGGTCAAACAGTTTATCGACATATCTTCTTCTATAAGCACCAAAAGGCATTATTTAAAACTTTTTCTGGAGGATGAACGGTAATGACAACCTCCGTTCACACCATGGGCATTGCCTAACATTTTTAAGCTTTACACAATATATGGAAGGAACAGTTTTTCATTACAAAAGGGGTGCATGCGTTTCGTATGTCTAATCAGATTTTAGAAGATGTTACTTCCTGGTGTCATGCATAAGAGCACACTGATAGGAGGCCGTTGACGCCTAATAGAGATCGCTGTCAGATTCAAACACGCTAGCAATGATGCATGGTGGCTTCTAAAATAGCTCGATTTTCTCTCCACGGGGAGGCCGTGTCTGCCACTGTGCGGGAGCCCATGTCTAGCACCTTCTGCAGCCCAGTTAACAAAAAGACAAAGTTGCCATTTTTCGCCGAAGCAGAAGATCAGTCCTCGGGTAAAGGATTTAGGGTGCACATCATAAGATCTGCGAAATGCTATATCTGGGCTCAAAGCCACTCGCGCAAAGAACGCCAGAACAGTTTCAAGAAGAGGTCCAACAGAGAACACCCAAGGGAGAAGTCAGACCATAGATGAAAAATGGAATGGCGAGCAAGCAAGAGCGTCGAAGAAGAGAATATCAAAATAGCACGAAGTGGAAAGATCAATGCCAGAATGCCAAAGGCACAATAAATCGTTACGAAATCCCCCCCAAGCGAGCCATCAAAGTGCCGGTCCAAACCCCAGCTGTACTGACTGGGCGCCTTGCTGGCAGCCAGCGGCTGCTGGTCGGGCAGCAGGCGGCTGTGGGTGACGGCACCCTCGGTCAGCAGGGTGGCCAGCAGCTCGGCCGGCGGCGCGCGCAGCAGCTGACCCAGCGCGTCCAGCGCCGCCGTCACCACGTTGTGGTCGGCGTGCTGGACATAGTGCAGCAGCAGCTCGTACAGCTGGCGCAGAGACACAGCAGCGTCAGCGTCAGCACAGCGGAGGGGGCGGCTCGGGCCCGATGACCAGCACAACCGGCCGCCGGGGTCAAATGACACTTTGATCACCACTGCTCATACGAAAGCTCCTGAAGGGAAGAACATCACGAGGGCCCATCAATGTGAATGTACCAGTGAGCAGACTATAAAGCCGATTGTGGAGCCCCGTGCCGGCCTCACTTCGGCCGCTTCGCTGACCAGTCAGCCAGCTACACTGCTGTGAGTTTTGAGTCGCCTATGGCCCAATCGGCTGTGGTCCCACAAGTGTTAGAATAGACAAGTAATCACAACTTATCACGTATCTATTTGTCATACAACTAGCCCACTGACCTGCAGCAGGCGCTCCACACTGAGCGCGTCGCAGAGCTCGTCCAGCAGGGGGATGATGTCCCGCAGGCAGAGCAGCACGCCCCGCACGCGGTCACAGCTGGCTTCGGAGCGCGCCGGCACCACGGAGTCTGCCGGCGCCCGGCGGTTCGGTCAGTCAGGGCGTCACAGGCCCGGTGTAAGAGCGGGCCGCGCGGAGTTACTCCGGGTCCGTGTGCAGACGCTAGTCGGCCGGCGGAAGAAGGCAGCGCGTGAGGTGGTCCGCAGTGTTGACTCCGCGGGCACGATCGCTAGAAATCTGGAGTCAAACACCGGACCATCGGACGCCGGAGTTAAACACCGGACCATCGGGCGCGTCGCCGGCGCCGCTGCGCCGCGACAGAGGAGCCTCCCCGGCCCGCCGGCCGCCCCACTCACCGACCAGCGTGGCCAGCAGCCAGGGCAGGAAGAACTCGGGCTTGCGGCCCCGCCCGCCGGCCGCCTCACTCACCGACCAGCGTGGCCAGCAGCCAGGGCAGGAAGAACTCGGGCTTGCGGCCCCGCCCGCCGGCCGCCTCACTCACCGACCAGCGTGGCCAGCAGCCAGGGCAGGAAGAACTCGGGCTTGCGGCCCCGCCCGCCGGCCGCCTCACTCACCGATCAGCGTGGCCAGCAGCCAGGGCAGGAAGAACTCGGGCTTGCGGCACTGGGAGACCAGCGCGACGATGGCCTGGCTGGCGGCTCGGCGTGCCGACGCGGCGCTCAGCTCCAAGTTCGGCAGGAAGGCGCGCAGCAGCGCCTGCGCACGGCGCGCCCACCGGCGTTAGACACCGCACCGACCGCGGCGCCGACAGAGGATGGCGTGCGCGCGGCAGCTGGCGCGGGGTGACGCCGGCAGCGGCCGAGTGCACGAGACGTGACGTCAGCATCTCAGCAGTGAGAGCACAAGCGCGTTGTGGTCACGGGCCGCCCAGCACCACGGCGTGATGACATTGGCTGTCACCACATCACGCCCCGCCCTGCCGCTGACCCGACTCCTGACCTCACTCTTCCCGCCTCGACTGACCTTGACCTCGCCGTCGGTGAAGAAGACGCCGAGCACAGGCGCCATCTTGACGAGCGCGGCCGAGAGGCTCTCCTGGAGGGCGGGCTCGGTGCGCCGCGAGAGCCGCACCACGCACGGAAACAGGTTTACCACATACGCCCGCCGCTTCTGCGGTCTGCCGGCAGGAAACACGGACAGATAAACCCGACAGAACGTCTTCAAAGCACGTATTTCTCAGTTTGAGAATACGAATGATACGAGTCACACGCGACACGAGCGATTAACGTGATACGAGTCAAGATCCACGCTTGCGGAAATAAACCTATGTCGATGCACGCACCGATCGGGTAACAGCTTACAAGCGCGGACAATCTCCGCACATGGCGTGCTTCAGAGGACACGAGACAACCGTGTATTTTCTCGAGATGAAACCTGCACTTCCTTTAAGACAATGATGTCGAATGGCTCCTCCAAACTCTAAGTTTAAAAAAATTAGCTACGCCGTTGCCTCACAACTAGAAAATGCACAGGGCACCATGCGTTCAGCTCCGCACCTGATTCTGTTTGAGAGCTCGGCAAACCGGCTGAGGGCGGAGGCCACGGCCCGGGGGCTGTGGTTCTGCTTGATCCCGCGGTACAGCTCCACCAGCAGCCGGCCCATGTTGTTCTCGCACAGGCCCTGGCACGCAGCACGCCCGATATTTAATAGAAACACTTCATAGGATCGGAAACATCGTCCATGACATTCCGTTTATCAATAAGACAATGTCTATCTAATCAACGATGAACTCAACCTTCTCGGAAAAAACAAAAACACAAAAAACACACATACCCTTGACCAGACCATCCTGGCAGGCCCAACATGGGAGGACAAACACTCCTCTGGCATGTACACCATACATATCGCCGGGACCCCGGACTCCACCACTCAGGTCCGGCCGTACCCGCACAATCCTGTTGAAACTTTCGTCGGCGGCGGTCCGCACATCAGCGTCGCCATCGTCGGCCAGTTGAAGCAGCGTTTCCACCACTGACGGTAGATGGCGTTGCAGCAGGTCCGTGTTGGTGCGCAGCGTTACGCTTACGATGCCGTCGGCCAGGTGGCTGCAGCATTGCTTCTTATCCCGGCTCGTCAACGGCGCATCCCGTTGCCTGCAGGCGACAGTGAGGGTTTATTTCCATACATCAACAACTGCAAAATGGCTTGTGTAAATAGCATGTATGAGTTGGCCGAAGAACTGGTAGTGCTGCTTGAACACTGCTCTCTAGATGGAGCAAACAACTAAGAACGAAAACAACATACGCACTCGGTCCAAAGTTACTTTTCATTCACATCCAAAAGTGATTCGCATGTCTAGACGCATGACTGGTGAGGGTTAATACCCATCCCGGCAGGCAGGACCACCAGAAGGGGACGGGTGGCGTTCGACGGCTCGCCGCCGCACCTGAACAGCATGGCGGCCGGTCGCAGGTCAGCCAGACTGGAGCGCAGCGAGGAGGCGGCCTCGCTGGGCGAGCCGGCCGGGGCCGCCGGCGCCGCCGGAGACGTCCGCAGCGTCTCCAGCGCCCGCACCAGCCGCTCCAGCGACGACATCGCCGAACAGGGCTAGTGACGTCACGTCAGACCCGGCGGGTGCTGCGGGAAGGTACGGAATGGTGTCGGTTCGGTGGTGCCGTGTGGAGACTGGGCTCGGCGAGCGTGGTACGGAATGGTGTACGGTCCGGTGGCGCCGTGTGGACACTGGGCTCGGCGAGCGTGGCACGGAATGGTGTCCGGTCCGGTGGCGCCGTGTGGAGACTGGGCTCGGCGAGCGTGGTGGCTTGGGTCCTCCTGTCGGCTAAATGACCTGGTCTCATCCCACACCTGGCATTCATACCTAATATCAATTCAGGCTGACTGCACATTCTCAACACAAGCCCGAGTCCGGTGTCAAATTTCAGCATGCTGCTACAGTTTTCCAGAATAACTTCTGAACGGTGCGGCGCGGCTACGGCAAACTTCGAAAAGCCGAAAATATTGAAATGCCCGATCTATCGTTGCAAATATAACATTAATTGCTTAAGGCTTAAGGCCTGGCATAAAGTGGTAAGGCGATGATAGTCCTTGAGACAGCTTCTAAACTAGCATGACAAAAGTTAACACCAGGTCATCATTAGATAATTATGTCATTCAAATCAGGTTTGAAACTAATGCCATTGAACTAGCGCTATCTATGAAGATCAAATCAATGTAACGACCAAACAACTGAAGGAAAACTTGCTACATGTGGAGAATTTCTTGATCGAAAGTAGGTCAACATAATTATCATGTTAACTTTTTAAGGGTTGGGAGAGGTCACCGACCTAAAATGATCCTGATAAACCTGTGACTTAAGGAACTGCCACTCATGTAGTGCCTGATGATCATTTCAAATTCTCAAAACTTAAAATGATCTCAAAACGTGCGTTGTCATTTTAAGTCCAGAAGGGAAGCTGGCCTGCAGAAAGCCTGCATAATCCTTCTGCTTGAAGCAGACATCTGGGTTAAAGTTCGTTGCATGACGACTTCACATGGTACATTCCATACTGACTCAGGGCTTGACATTGTTTGACCTTAGTCAAGCCAGAGGTCACAACTCAAAGATCGTAACATGCCACACAAATCAGTTCAGGTAGTCATGGCGACGCGAAAGCACGCGTCTTTATTTGCAACCTTACTTTTTTCTCTGCTCTGCTGCAACAGCATGCTGAATTGTAGCATCTCACCAGCCATACTATATTGGCTATGGACGGCACATCCAAATCTAAGTGAGAGCAGCTGTAAAATGTATGACTAAAAAAGACTGACATGCCACGGAATTCCCCAATGCCTGGTCAATATGCATATGGAGATAACCCGTCACTACTCCACGTCGGCGAAGTAGTCCATCGACTTCGCACGTGGACGACGCCCACTTAAAGTGACTCCAAGTCAGGGAGACCGTCTGAGACCACAACGTCCCAACCAATCAAAGGTGCATGTGGTTGATCTTGAGATACGTGGGTCAAGATCAGTGCAATGGTGTCTGAGTTTCGCATATTATTTGATACGGTTTCGACCATTATCTATGGCCATCTCCCCATCAGCACGGTGTCTGACAAATGAGTGCCCCAAGACCTGAACCCACAAGATCGGTATCCGAGGCTGTACTAAACAGACACCTTCTCCATGCCCACACAACTGACACTCCATGTTTCGAGGCTGTACTGAACAGACAGCTTCTCCATGCCCACACAGCTGACACTGCATGTTTCGAGGCTGTACCGAACAGACAGCTTCTCCGTGCCCACACAACTGACACTGCATGTTTCGAGGCTGTACTGAACAGACAGCTTCTCCATGCCCACACAACTGACACGGCATGCTTCTTTTCACGTCTGGTGACAGGGAAGAGGGCATGGCTACACCACTGGGACCTCGCGTCAAAGCACATCAGAATGCAGAGGACGCACAAGGGGTCTCTCTAGCTCCCGAATACGTTTCGCGCCCACGCCTCTGCAAGCCAAGGATGGCCACCATTGCCTGGGGTGTCCAATGGTATCAGCATCACTGATCTCACGTAAAAAACACTAACATCATTAGGGATTACTACGTCAGCCTGCTGGTGCAGGTGAGGGATGCCATCAAAAAGAACAGGTGAAGAAAGCCGGCAAAGGGTGTCCTGATTCTTCACAACGCGCCTCTTCGCAAAATGCGAGTTGTGCGGACGCCATTCACAACCGAGGCTTTGCAAAGTTGTATAAACCAGCCAACCTAGTCCATCCCTGGCACCAAGTGGCTTTCCTGGCTTCCAAAGTTGCATATCCAGGAAGGAGGTTTACTGATGATGAGCCTGTGTGGGCGATTGATGAGGAGGGGCTGGTGAACCAGCCAAGGAAGTACTTCTTTAGATGCATCAAAAACATCAAGGAGGAATGATGGCGCAGACAAGGGGGCACAGTGGGTACATGCTCCCCCGCCTTAGGTCACGTTAGGTCACGTGGGACCCGAAGGGCCCTCGGGACCGATGCGACTTGAGGGCCAAAGTGCCCGAAGGTCTGCCTGGAGATGTTATTAAGGTGCCCCAACCCGCAGAGCCAGGCCCTCAAGTGTCAATCAATTTGCACCAATCGGGGGCCACCTGATTCGGGAATGGCGAAGGCATCTCTGACGACCAGACACCACCACTGCTAAACAGTCAGATCCGTGCGTGTCTGGGCCTGAAGGTCCATCACGCACAGGGGGGACAGGACCGGGGCCCGCGATGCACATTGGTCGGGGTCTCTGAATCGATGAGGGCCCGCTGTGAAGCCACAGAACCATAATGCCTGACATTATGGCAGGTGTTCCTGTTCCAGGTTGTCTCTGTTCCTCCAGGTGTTGACGAGGTCTCCAAGCCAGCCAGGGGCAGTGTTTGGGGGCGTCCGAAGTAGGGACTGCATGGTCCCTCAGGGCTGACCATCAGAGACCTGATTGGAGGGCCTGGGTGCTGACAGGCTAGCTGTAGTTTACATCAATGATCCTCACCCTTCTGGTTGGGATGACAAATGTCAGTCAAGGGCATTTTGCACCAACTGGGGACTCCTGGGACAATGAGGCCTCCATTTCAGCTAACACCAGACAGTCAGCTCCATGTCCATCTGAGCCCTGGGGGAGGAGAATTTTTCCAAGCAAGGGCAAGGGCCCCACAATTTGCACTGATTAGGCCCCCGAAACAATAGAAGAGCCCGTGTCAGTCAGGGGCACACAGTGCCTACCAGGTCATAAGTGGGCATGGATCGGGAGAGGTCACCAACCTAAAATGACCCTGTTCCACCCCCCAGTGTCAGCCAGTGGAACACTTACTAAATGGGACCCTGAAAGCCTCTGGCATTGGTCAGAGCTCCCTAACAATGAGAGAAGATATGATAACTTATGATATGAGGATCCACAATGAGACAATGGAGATCCTGCACCAGTCAGGGGCCCCATTGCTGATCAGGGGTTCGGTACTGGGTCAGTAATTCGGTAATGGAGTTGTCCACCACATTGCAGCAAAGGACCCATTGTGTCAACTATGGGATCCAATGCAGCAATGCAGCATCTTTCTGTGTCAATAAAAGCCTGTCCGGCACTGCACAGCCTGTGGAGACTGCGATGCCAGGCAAGGACTTTGTTTCTAGCTTGCACACATGCATATTCAAAACTATGTCACATAACTTTTCTACCTATTGTTCCTGAATGTAGGCTGAACATTGCCACACTTACATGGGATGGCCATGCTAATATGATTTTCACCTCACTTGTATTAACATTCTGCACCGGTGAGGACCCTTACACTCTGCAGAGTCTTGATAAATTCTGGCAAAGTTCTGAATGCTATTTGTATGCTGCTTCTAATTTCAAACAGATAACAGGTGTCTTTGGATTACTAAGCTTCTGTCAGGCCTATAAGACTACACCAACAGCAGCAACATAATACTTTAATTTGTCAATACATTGTGATATAGGAAAAGCTTTATTTCAAATGGTTCACATGGATGCTTTTCTGCCTGATATTGTCAAATCCCCTTTATCTTTCATATCCCCATGGCATCAGGTGAAGGAAATTCACAACAAATATAAGTATCCTACAATCCTAGGATGATGCTAGATGATAATAAAAAACAGAAACAGAAGAAATCATGAACTATGTATATTGTAAAAAAAACATGACAAAAATTATGGATTATATGGGTTATAGCTTTTGGTCAGTTTGCAAGCCACATTCATTGAAACAAAAATAACTTGAGATTTAACTTTTGATAATTTGTTTACTAGGTTATTCACACTTACACATTTTTCCTATGAAGCACACATGTGCAACACATAGGTATATAATGCAATCATGGAATATAATTCAGAGCTAAAACATTCAACTCAAACTCCCAACATCCAACAAATATCCAGCAGCTTTGAAAACCAGTTATATGCAATATGCCCCAGATGACCTGTGGATATTTAAGCATTCATTAGCAGTAATTTAATGAATCAAAACAGCAAGTAAGGTTAAAGGCCTGCCTAACTCTACCCAACTCACAACCAATGCCAGCTATTTGGGGACAAAGGAGTGTTAGGACACCATGTTTGTTGAAATTGAATTTGGATTGCTATTCATTAAACTGTATGTAACTTTGATTATTTGATTCTAAATAATACCTGTGTCTGGCAATGAAACAAAATGGCATACAAAACCATCAATGCAATGACAAGTCTGGCAGTTAGTGGCTGGAGTATCCATCCCAGGGAATATGGTTCTAAACCAGGATATATTGAGTTTTAAACAATGCGGGAATGCAGGAATTGATGGATGTAGTGCAGAATCACAGTTTAATGTGAAACTAGAACAACTGGTTGGGAAGAGGCTGGATGTCAGCAAAATGGCCTGATATAGGCCAGGCGTTTTATGTTGTCCTTCATGATGGCAGCCAGAGAAACTCTTAGTAAAGCTTAGCTTCGGAAGCGGACATACAACAGATACAGCAATTTGGAACCTACCTACCTCTACAACAACACCTGTATGCGACTCACCGCCTGCGCTGGCAGTTTGTCAACAGCAGCAATAATTTGTGAGACAGTTACGGCTCATCACAGACGAGCGTATGCGGGCTAAAATACTGTCTTAAATCTTTGGTCTTTACAACAGTTGGCATTTTGGAAGGTGCGCTGCTTTCCGGTGTTGTCCTTTTAAGTAGAACGGATGCTGGGTTTTCATTTGCATTATGTTATTTGTCTTTCTATTGAAATATCAACTCTGACTTCTGCTTGCAAGGTAAAAGCACGTTGTTTCCCTATTCGCTAATTGGGCTACACTCAGAAGGCAAACATTTTCTATTTTTCATAAATTTATGCGTGTTCAATTTGCTTTAAGATAATTTTTTTCTCCTAAAACGCATGTTTTCGTCAGTTTGCTGCGTTTTGATACTCAAAATTTACTCAAGCCCTATCTAACTTTCTGGCATCATGTTAGTGCCATTTTCGATCAATTTTAGTCAGACGGTTATGGCGCAGCATAGACGTAGATATAACCCCAACAAACATGTTATGTTTTGATTGTGTCACGTAGTTTCCATGGTGAGTTTGGTGCTTCGTTCTCTTGAATTGAGATAGAGACCGGTGTATATTCCTTTATCTCAGTCCACTTTGACGTGTTTACGTGTATGCTAGAGTGCAGGTGCAGAGCCAAATGATCCACACTTCCATTACTTGCAATTGTCACCTCCAAGCTTTCGTGTCACCCAGTATTCCCCGCTGTGCCCGCCCTTCTTGCCAGGGTGAGAGGCAGGCGACGCCATATAGCTTCCGTTGCGAGTACGTCATAAAGTCCCATGGGCTGTGACGGTATCGCCCAATTTATATCCTAGCTTAGGTTGGCATTAATGCATGATGCATAGGGCAGCAGCGTTACCCTAAAGATATCTTTCAAAGCCTGTCATAGCTTGTAGACAATGCTATGACATATGACTAGCTGCTCTAGTGTTGATAGTATGGTGGCATAAACTTCCCACCATTGCATATGTGGCTTTATGTGGGTGATGCACCACATGATCCACATGAAGTATATGTACCAGACTGCATTCAATCCATCCACTGTGTCGCATGGAGGCATCATCTGTGATTTGGACCTCATACTTATCTCTTCCAAACTCTGGGAACTCTTATTTATTAGTTATCTAGACCAAAATTTTTGCTGCAATATTATTTCCATGCAAGAATGTTCAGAGTAGTGTCTATCTTTGGCAGTCTGGTATGAGTATTGTCACTGAATATGTATGCCAGTGGGTTGTGAAAGGACAATTATGGCTTGTGGATCTTATGACACAATCATCATCAGCAAAATCTGCATTGGAGAGCATGGATGACAATAACAATAAAAATAGAATCAAGAAAGATTATATCTAAAAATGTTGCCTTATATATTTGTTTTTCAGTGTTTTCATGCAGCTTTGATTATATATTAACTTGTTAGTTGTATACCATATAATTTTTGGCATCAATGACAATGGGTACTTGTTTTTATATTTTTTATAATGGTTTTGCTGTTTTTGGTGTGCTAGCACAAATTGCTATATGTGTATCTATTCACTACAATTTTAATCAATCAACATCTTTCCAGACAAAGCTGTGCACTTCAAACCAACCTCCTTTCCAGACACAGAGTACACCCTACTGCTACCCATCAGTGAATTGTTTGCCACCTGAAATGTTGCCCATGATGCTGGCATATTGGTGAATTATCAGGGTTGTATAGATATACTGAAATGAAATGACCAGCCAGCCACTGGTTGGTGAGGGTCAAGCCACATTCAGGACAGCTATGTCACAGTATTGTGTTGCACCCTCCTCCTTATCTTTGTCCAGTAAAATGGCAGAGCCAAGCTATGTGCTGAACTGGATGGCTTAATCTGGGTGGTGGGTTCAGGGTACACCAGAAACCATGCTTAGCAGTTAAGCTCATGTGTGCGCATGTTTGATTATGTATGCTTATGTTTGCTCATGTTTGCTGGGCCACTTATGCAAACCATTCAGAATCAGTGTAAAAAAGTGATGCACTGGCCTTTCACATTCACTAACAAACAGCAGCAAGATTCAGCTGTGGCATAGATTCCTGCCATATTTTTACATGGGTACACATACATCAGTATAATACTAATGTGTCTGGAGGCATCAAAATATGTTTCATTGCACACACACCCAATGCAAAAATAAAGCAGCCATAGCAATGAAGCATACAGTTTAAGTTCTGGGAGGGGCAACATATAGCATAAGTTGAGGTTGCAAAAGTTTTAGAACTTGAGTTTCTGAATAAGAAATTAGATACAACATTCAGCAAGCAAGTCAATATGTGGTTATATGTAATGACTGTAAGGAAGTTTCTTGAGGAGCAGATCAATAAAATTAGCATTTTCATGAAACATCGACAAAACATATGCTGTGGTCCATATCAAGTGATGTCTCATTATTGTCGCATAGGAAAATCCCAGAACATGTATCTATGTTTCCTCTCACAAAAATTCATGTAAATCTCTTTTACCTCCTTGGCATAATTTTTGATTTCCTTTTTGCAGCCACCACCTTGTATAAGAACCCGAAGGAGGCCTGTTGGACAGGAGCAGCACTGCTCCTCTGCCAGAATGGCCATGCACCCTGCTGTCCTGGTCATCATCGTCATGTGTTGTATCCAGCCATCGCTGTGTAGCTCTCAGGGCAGTTGCCAGCTGGATCTTCAGATCACCAATAATGGAAAGCAGTATGATCTATCAAGGTATGTTGTCAGTAAGAAATGTTTTTGGCCCCTTTGCTTACACATTTTCATATGAAGGCTTCAATGATCCATGATGACACATTTGAATGCAACTCATTTTGGTTAGTTAATGTAATCTGGTCTGGGTCAGATCATGGTAATGAATGTGGAAATGAAAGGTAAAGAAGGAAGTGATGGATTCTGCTCATCACACTTTCTAATGTGTATTTCATGACTGAGTGTGATGTAGCATTTTATGTGGAATATTTTTTGTCATGTAATATGTATATATGGTATGTTGTATTTTATCTGCCATATTAATACAATGTTGTATGATTTTAATTCATTTGTGTATGATTGTAAGCGACTGGGTGACGACTGGTGAGGATGGTCATTGACTAGGTACCAGGGCTGTAGCACGGTCGGTCAATGCCTTTACAGGTTGAAAGCATGCACGTTTGAAACACCTCACCTTGTGCCACGGACATCCAGCACGCAGTAAGAAAACGCAGGGGAATATTCCTGTACATGTCACAGCACCTGAGCAGCGGCTTGGTTGTGCCGCGTGCTGACGCCGCTCCCCGCCGCTCCCAGCGTGGCGCTGCAGACGACGAACGTGACCGGGCAGTGGGCGGGCCAGCCTGCCCTGGCCAGCGTCCGGTTGTGCGGGCCCGGCTCCTGTCCGGACGGCGCCGCCGCCTGTCTGCGGGACGCCAACAGCGGGCAGCTGCTCGTGTCTGACGCGGGCAGGGTCGACAACAGCACACGTGAGGCCGACTCCACGGCGGCCCGCGCTGGGCCGGCGGCTGTACGGGTGGCTCGCTGTGGGTGGAGGTGACAGTCGCGGTGTGGCGGCTTTCTCTTGATGTTTCTACGTAAGTTGAATGCTCCACAATAGCTTTCTAGTCTGTGGCTATCAGCTTCTGCCATCATTTGTTTTGAAGCAAAAGTTGTCAGCTGCTAGAGATCCTCGATTAAGACTATCTTACATCAGCTGTCGCTGGTGTGACCCCGCTTCATTGACCCCATTTCACCGGCGTGACCCCGTGACACTGACCATACGTCGCTGGCGTGACCCCGCGCCACTGACCCTGCATCGCTGGCGTGACCCTGCGTCACTGACCTCATTTCGCGGTCGTGACCCCGCGTCAGCGACCTCATTTCGCTGGCGTGACCCCGCGCCACTGACCCTGTGTTGCTAGCGTGACCCCACGCCACTGACCCTGTGTCGATGGCGTGACCCTACGTTACCGATCCCGTGTCGCTAGCGGTTTCTTTCCTTTTCCGCGCTACATTGCGTGGGCGGACGCACGCCGCGGACGGTCGGCGTCTCCCATGACTCGGACGCCGGCTGACGCCACCGCTGACGCCGCCTGTGCCGTCAGGTCTGGTGGCCAAGAACAGCCACCTGCAGCTGGACCTGGCGCCGGGCGGGCGGTGCGAAGACCAGGGTCAGGCGACCTCGTTCACCACCACCCTGCTGTTCATCTGTCAGCCTGAGGTGGGGGTAGGCGGCGCCACAGTCGGTGCGGCCTCGCTTGCTCCGTCGCGCTCGGTGGCTGGTGGGACGCGGTGTCGCTGCGGTGTCACGTCTGCGTGCTCACAGGCTTCTCGCTTTGTCAAAGTCTGTCCTTCAGAACCGACACCTTCCAGGTGGAGTGCCAGTAACAGGGGATCAGGCAGTAAGCGGCCACCCTACTGGCATGTTGGCTTCTCCAGCTACCTTCTCCTCTCCCTGATTCTTCGGGGTCGACACTGGGCCAGTGACCTCAACAGCGCCACCACACATGCGTATTTTGTCTCAGTTCGCCTTATGGCTGTGGTGTTTCCGCACGGAGTAGTGCGGGCGCCGCGCCGTGGCCCAATCATTCTACGGGATCTAAACTATGCGGCATCCAACATGCTGCCCTGGTCCGGACGCGTGCCAGGCGTACGTCCAGGTATACGGCCTGTCTCCCGGTAATGCTCCCGGTCAACGTCAGCATTCAGGGAAGCAGTCTGGCTCAGCTTCGCCGTCGGTCGAACGTTGGGGCTGCTTGGAGTTACGGGATAGGAGGAGGAGGTTGTTGGAGCTGGAGTTTCGATAGAAGGAGGAGGCTGTTGGAGTTGGAGTTACGAAAGGAGGAGGTTTTTGGGACTAGAGTTGCGATAGGAGGAGGAGGTTTCTGGAGGTGAAGTTACGATAGGAGGAGGCTGGTGGAGTTGGGAGTTACGATAGACGGAAGTTGCTGGAGCTGGAGTTTCCGTAGTAGAAGGAGGTTGTTGGAGCTGGAGTTTCCATGGGAGGAGGAGGCTGTTGGGGCTGATATTACGATAGGAGGAGGTTTTGGAGCAGTTCATACAGCCATCGCTGACCTGACGCTTGCTTTGTGGATTCCTTTTTTCAGTTAGGGGCCTGGGACCCGCCAACTTTGAGAAGAAAGTGAACCAAAGCTGGAGAGAAATGAGCTTTGGAGTATGCGGGGGGGGGGGGGGAGCTTAGTTATTTTTTCCGCCCCTAATTAATTTTACAGATACACTCACCTGATACAGTCTCGCATTTTTGGCTTTTGGAAATGGAGAAGGTTGTGTCCGGCAGAAACTTGTCTGATCTTTTTATTGACCTTCAAAAAATATCCCAAAGATGGCTCTTCAGCCTTACTAAACCATCAATGGAAATGTTGATGTTTTGGATTGCTCCTGTCATCAACGGTAATGATATGACCTGAAACACTGTTGCGAGTGCCAGAGGACTAGACTCGTTAATACCTTATGAACTCTCATAGTGTTCATCTTGTGTTGAAAACTGGGTACAGCTGGGGTAGCGCAAAGAGTGTTCCTGGGAACAAGAAAATCGCCAAATGAATCGGGAAAACGCACTTAACTTTTAAATGTTACTTCTTTTTCGGCGGGCAATGTCCAGATTGTTTTGAGTGCTGCTAGCATCGTGGTACTGATCGTGAGGAGCCGGTTAAATGGTGCAGCGTGTGGGGCGTTTGGTATGCAGTCCACAATGGTGTGTCCATGTACTATTGCTCCTTCATGTGTGCATATATTGACATTTGGCTGTATTCCATCCGTTGATATTGACATCCTGTACTGCCGACATGCTGACGGCGTCCGTCCGGTGTCCGTAGGACTCTGCCCAGCTGGTGCGGGCTGACATGGGCGCCTGCGGGCTGCTGCTGATGTGGCACTCGCCGCATGCGTGCGCGCGGCCGGCCGGCCCGCCGCCCGCCTGCGCGCTGCTCTCCCACCCGCCGCTCCAAGGACTGCCCGGCCTGGCGGCGCTTGTCGCCGGCCGCTTCAGCGCCAGCGCCGGCAGCGCCACCTACCGGCTGCGGCTCTGCGGCGGCGCGGCGCGCGAGGACGACCTGTGCGGCTCGGGGCCCTTCTGCGACGACGACGGCGCCGGCCACCTGCTGTCGATCGGCAGCCAGAAGCAGCCGGGCGCACTCACCGCCGAGAACGGCACAGTGAGGGTCACCTACGGCACGCCGGGGCAAGGTGGGTGACGAGGCGTGAGAACTGCGGCGGGGAGCCGCCCGGGGGTCTGTCGCGTTGTACTGCCCCTGGTCTGTCGTGTGATGTCCTGGTCTGTAGTGTCATGACACTCCTGGTCTGCCACGCGACGACATCCATGGTGTATTATGCTGTGACGCGCCTGTTTCTTCGGCGTCGCTGGTCGGTCGCGCTGGCCGTCCCTGGTGTGGCATACCCTAACACTGATGTCTCGCCATGCCCCAACACGCCTGGCTGCCATGCCGTGACGCCCGGTCCTGCCGTGCCGTGACGCCCCGGTCCTGCCATGCCGTGACGCCCGGTCCTGCCGTGCCGTGACGCCCCGGTCCTGCCGTGCCGTGACGCCCGGTCCTGCCGTGCCGTGACGCCCGGTCCTGCCGTGCCGTGACGCCCGGTCCTGCCGTGCCGTGACGCCCCGGTCCTGCCGTGCCCGGGACGCCCGGATCCTGCCGTTGCCGTGACGCCCGGTCCTGCCGTGCCGTGACACCCGGTCCCGCCGTGCCGTGACGCCCGGTCCTGACGTGCCGTGACGCCCCGGTCCTGCCGTGCCGTGACGCCCGGTCCTGCCGTGCCGTGACGCCCGGTCCTGCCGTGCCGTGACGCCCGGTCCTGCCGTGCCGTGACGCCCCGGTCCTGCCATGCCGTGACGCCCGGTCCTGCCGTGCCGTGACGCCCGGTCCTGCCGTGCCGTGACACCCCGGTCCTGCCGTGCCGTGACGCCCCGGTCGGCGCTCCTCAGACCAGGCGGAGATCAGCCTGCTGTGCCGGGAGACGGCCGGCCGCGGTCGTCTGGTGTTCCGGGGCCTGGCCGGCCGGCTGCGGCGGCTCGACCTGGAGTCGGCGCTGCTCTGCCCGGCCGGCGCCCTGCACTGTCAGGTGAGCGTAGTCCCGCGCACCAGCCAGCCCGCGGCGTGCCCGCCCGAGAGCGGCGCGGGCCGACCGGCCGGCAGACGAGCGCCGTGCCACGGCTGTAGTTATGCAGGCCTCTGGCGGTGGAGATTGGAAGCTGTTGCCAGATGACACATTAGTGTTTTGGAAGCGAACTTTCTAGTTTTGTGTTTATTTTTGTACGGGGTGGTTCGCGGACCGACTCTATGTCGGTCTGGCAGTACTTACTGTAGTCACGGAGAGCCATCAATGGAATGTATTTGTATTTAGTAGTTATGCTTCGTTTCCGGCTCCCAGCGCACAGCTAAGGTTAGATCCAACCAGTGTGCAACATTCTCCTGCGATCCAACCAGTGTGCAACTTTCTCTTAAACCGAAGTGATTCCGTTAGATTTTGTGTACGTCACGTGTGGATGCACGTAGGCACGCTATTCTCACGGCCTTTTGACACGCTGTGCTGTGTGGTCGCGCTGATTCGGCGTCGCATCCGTTCGAGAGCGGCGGAATCGACGCGCGAAGCGGAATCGATGCTCGTTGGTGCCACGATACCCAGTGACGTTACAGGTCTCCTGCCCCCGCGCCGTGTATCCTTCCTCACCTCACCTCACCTTACCTCACCTCACCTCACCTCACCTCACCTCACCTCACTTCACTTCACTTCACCCCACCTCACCTCACCTCACCTCACCTCACCTCATCTCATCTCATTTCATCTCATCTCATGTCATCACCTCATCATCTCACCTCATTTTCCCTGATTTCTTCTCATCATCTCACGTTTCATCGCCTCATCTCGCCTCATCTCGCCTCATCTCGCCTCGCCTCTCCTCGCCTCCCCTCCCCTCACCTCATCTCATCTCATGCCATCACCTCATCACCTCACCTCATCTTCCCTAACTCCTTCCCATCATTTCACATCTCATCGCCTCATCTCGCTTCGCCTCTGCTCGCCTCGCCTCGCCTCGCCTCGCCTCGCCTCGCCTCGCCTCGCCTCGCCTCGCCTCGCCTCGCCTCCCCTCACCAGTGCGGTGCTGCCGGCAGGTGCCGGGGGCGGACGGCCGGCACCGCGACTTCAGCGGGCTGGCCGGCACCGACGCCAGCTGGGTGACCTCCGACGACAGGCACTTCCAGCTGAGCCTGTGCCGACCGCTGGCCGCGGACCACCTGCCGCCGCCCTGCCTCGGTGAGAGCGGCGCTTCACGGCCGTCACAGACCGTGAGGTCTTGGTCGGGCAGACCGGACGGCGTCACAGCGGCGGTGTGCGAACCCCTATCTCTGTCGTTTGAGTCCGAAGCCCGCTCCTGTCAGTGGCGTCCGGACCTGGCCCTCTGTCGTGGAGCCCAGACCCCGGCCCTCTGTCGTGGATCCTAGACCCCGGCCCCTGTCGTGGAGCCTGGACCCCTCGCCCCTGTCGGTTGAGTCCAGGCCCTGCCCCTGTCAGTGGGGTCCGCACCTGGCCCTCTGTCGTGGATCCTAGACCCCGGTCCCTGTCGGTTGAGTCCAGACCCCTGCCGCTGTCAGTGGGGTCTGAACTCCGGTGCCTGTCGTGGAGCCCGGACCCCGGTCCCTGTTGGTGGGGTCCTGACCCCGGCCACCTGGCGTGGAGTCTGGACTCCGGTCACCTCCGGCTGACCTGACGGTCCGTCCCGTGGCTCGAGGAGGCAGGGGGCAGCCGGACTGAGCTGCTTCGGTTGACTGCGTCTCACACGGTGTCGGCCTCCCCACCGTTGTGTGGACAGCACCAGGTCGGCGGCCTGGTGCTGTTGTAGCCTTGTTGTCGAGTCCTACCGCGTCTTGTATTTTGGGTCATTTGCTGCTAGTGGCGTATGTGCAGAGTCTCACCTTTTCAGTTCCTTGTTTGTGAGCTGGGTTTATGCACAAAACTGTCAGCGTTAGTTAGTTAGTTACCAGTTAGTCGTGAACGAAGTCCGGCTAATGAAGCTACTGACTGTTCCCTGCAGACTTGTGCTGGGTTCGATTAAGAATGAGGATGGAATCATGAGGCATCCCCGTTTTCTTGAATCAAGCGTGTGACTACTCCCTGGCTTTTGACCTGAATCAGTAGCAGATTCAGTTCGGTTCCCCTGGCCTGAGTAAATTGAATCAACAATAATTGATCGTTTTATGTATTCGAGTAATACTCCAGGGGCTATGCCTTTGTGCTTCAGAATCGAGGTCGCAACCAGTTGTGCCAGTTTGCTTGAATCAACACCTCATATGGATCACCATTTGAAAAGCAGCATTGCCATCAATGATAATTCGGCTCTCAAGAGTCAAAATCGATTCGATTCGTCTGTTGTTGAACGAGACCGAGGCCTGTGCCGTGTGTGCTCCTGCGGCGTGCGTGACCCGTGACATGGACGCTGCAGCGCTGCCCGGGACGGCCGTGTGCATGCAGGCGGGTAGCGAGTCCGTCAGCCTGGGCCGGGTGGCCGGCGAGCCCACACTCAAGGCGGACGGCTCCCTCTCCGTCGTCTACTCCAGTACGTCAGCCGGGCGCGCCAGAAACAAAACCGGCGGCGTCGGACCCAAACCACTGTACAGCGTTGGAGTGAACGAAGCGCCACGCGGTCTTTTCTTCGTGCGACGCGCCCTACATGACTTGTTTTACTGCTTCCACCTACGGGAGGGGAAGCACACGAGAGCTCCGTAGCTTCTCGTATTCATTGATTGCTACCGTGCGTGGGATGTGAATAGCCGAAGGGGTTTCCAGCCTTCAGACGGTCCCCTTTGTTCAGAAGATCACGCTGTGTGCCCGTGTCTGTGACGGTTTGCAAATGAGCCGCGTTCTTGCCCGGCCTTTCGCCGGCGAATTTTCCCGGCCCATAATACATGGCTGCTTTCTCGAAGCGTAGGTTAAATGGAAGCCATTTTATCAGAACTCGTGTCGCCCAGCCTCAAGTTTGAATCCCACGTGCTGCTGATTTTGCGGTCTGAACTTCGGCGCGCTGACAGTGCGGCTTCGGCCCGCAGACGGCTCGCGCTGCGGATCCGGCACCTACAGCTCCGAGGTGCAGCTGGTGTGTGGGCCAGATGACGGGCGACCGGTACTGCAGGGCACGCGCGGACCCTGCGCCTTCGTCTTCGTCTGGGAGACGGCCGCAGCCTGCGGCGACCAGGTGACCCGGAGATGTGATGAGATCGATGTTGAGTGTCAGAGCTGGCCCGGAAATGTGATGAGATCGATATCGGGTGTCAGAGCTGCCCTGGAGATGTGAGGAGATCTATCCCGGGTGTCAGAGCCGGCCCGGAGACGTGGTGAGATTGATATCGGGTGTCAGAGCCGGCCCGGAGATGTGATGAGATCGATATCGGGTGTCCAGGGACCTTTTACGACCAGGCTTTATTGACACCAACTTCATCTTCGCTGTCTTCATGAGCCAGCTGTTCAGATGATTGGCTTTTTGCTGCTGCGTCTACGCGTGACATCGAGTCTTCAGCGGTCCGTGTTGTCACATTTGTGTTCCCGTCACACCATCTGCTGAGCGAAGGGCAGCCTCCAGACTGCCCTAGCGTGTTCCCGTTCGTCTGTCTCACCCTCGCGGAGTATCGGTCCGGTCTGACCCCCCCCCCCCCCCCGTTCGCAGGAGAGCTCGGGCGCCGACTGCCGCGTGCGTGACCCCCTGTACGGGTACGAGCTGGACGTCAGCTCGCTGCGCCGTCGCCAGGACTACGCCATCCCGCTGGACGGCGGCCGCACCCTGTACGTGAACCTGTGCGGCCCGCTGCAGCGCCGCTGCGCCGGCGCCGCCGATCAGGGCGTCTGCCTGGTGGACGGCGACAACATGACCGGATACGGTGAGTGTCCGCCGGCGGTCTCCGCGGGTTTGCGTCCAGTGACCCGGCGGTCGCCTCGGGCCGGCGTCCGGTGACCCGGCGGTCAGCGAGGGCCCACGGCCGTCGACCCGGCGCGATCCGTGTTCGGTGTGGGCAGTGTTGTGGTGTCTGTAGGGGCTGGGAAACGCCGAAGGATGTTTGTCCGCGTTTGTGAAGTGGTGGGCCTCCCCTGGCCCGTGTTGTCACATTGTGGTGCTTTGTCAGTGCAGGGTCGCGTCATTGTCTGACCTGTGACCCCTTGGGCAGGCGGCGCCACCTCACTGCTGCAGTACTCTGGCGGCGTGCTGAAGCTGGAGATGACCGGTGGCGCCGCCTGCGGCGCGTCGGCGAACCATAGCACCCGGCTGGTGCTGACCTGCGACCAGGCGGCGCCGGCGGCCGCCGAGGTTGGCCTGGTGCACCTGGGCGGCTGCACCACCTACCTGGTGATGCCGGCGCGGCAGGCCTGCCAGCCGCGCACCACCTCCAGCTGCCGCACCCCGGTCAGTGGTGCCACCCCGCCCCACCCCTTCGCCCTGCCTTCAGTGGGGCAGAGACCGCTCTGTGTGTAGGTGTGCCGAGCTGGGTCTGCCCAGTGGTCAGTGGCAACGGCTCCTCTGCTGCGTTTTCCACGTGCGTGCGTCTCTACGGCGGATCACCGTCGAGACGCAGCCATAGACATACAAAGACAGCCGTCCACGTTGAGTGGGGCACGCTATGGTGGCGTGCTCGTGATCCAGTCCGGGCGAGGCGTGTCGAGATCGTCACCGCGCGGTGACCGGCCACGCGCGCTGGAGGCGTCGGTGACGCGCGCTGACCGACCGGCAGGACGGCCGCTACGACCTGAGCGGCCTGACGGCGCTCACCGGGAACCACAAGTACCGCGAGGTGGCCGCCACCTACGTGCTGAACGTGTGCCACTCGGTCAACCCGGAGGAGGGCGTGAGCTGCCCGTCCGACGCCGGCAGCTGCCTGGTGCGGCCCGAGCAGCCGCTGGCCGGCGACAGGTGAGGGCGGCGCACGCGGCGCTTAACCACGCCGCGGGCTGGGCGCCTGCGTCGGCAGCACCGGCGTCCGGGCAGCGTCTGGCGCCGCCGAGCCGCGACCGGCCGAGCGAACTGTCTGCCTAGGAGATGTTGCGGCAGTGATTTGAACTGGTGTTGGCCCTGGTGGCAGCCGCGGTGTGGTGGTGGTTCGGCCGCTGTAGCGGGCGCCACAGCGGCGGAGCGGGTCTCGGTCGCTGCTGGGGGACCGGCCGCGGGCGCCTGTCGGTGACGTCAGCCGCCGCCTCGTGCGCTCGTCGGTGACGTCAGCCGCCGCGCCGCCGCAGGTACCTGAGCCTGGGTGTCGTGGCGGGCGGGCCGACGGTGGAGGCCTCCGGGGCGGTGCTGCGCTACAACTCCAGCCAGCCGTGTCCGGGCCAGCCCCAGCGGCGCCGCGCCACGCTCATCCGCTTCCACTGCGACCGCGGCGCCGCCGTACGTGGGCGCTGACCGCGCCGGTCCCGGCCGGCCCCGGGACGGGACAGATATGGCGCCGGCGTCACTGGCGAGCAGGCCTGTCGAGTGCTCGTTTGTGGTCTCTTGGCGGGCAGAGTAAGACAGAGAATGATATCCGCCCTGACATCCCGACCACTTACCATCGCTTTTAATTTACTCGTAATGTCTCGACGTCCATTACACCCGTGACTTGGTCGCTAAAGGCGAATGACTCGAAATTTAGTACGTCAAAATCACGTTAAGTTTGATAACTGCGTCAAGTGTAAATTATAATTTTTTTCTGAAGTGTGGATTTGTTACCCTATTTTTCACAACCAGCACGCTCAAAATGTACTGAGCTTGAAGTATCAAGTAGAATGTTTTAAGTGAGCTTGTCGGTCTCAAGAACAGTTGACTCCGTCATCTCATCATTCAGATTTTCTTCTTTCCACGCAAGCACCTTTCTGGCTTCAATGTATTATCCAAAATGCGCGTTATCTTTGCAGGTGGTTTGTCAATCGTAATTTTTCTCTAGACCTTTAGTTTAGCACTATTCCTAAAAGCCGCCAAAGTCCGCACAGGTACCATTGTATCGTGTTTGCGAGCACAGGATTCCGGCGATCGTGACATTTCCTGCCGCCGTGGTATCGACTAGAAGCCGTGTTGTGTCCGTGGCCCAACTCCGGCACTCTCGGGCCATTCCCCGTTCACTGCCGTAGCCGCCGCCCCGCCAGCCGGGTGACGCCGCCGCCGCCGCCGCCGCCCGTCAGCGCCGCCCTCTGCTCACCGGCAGGGCAGCCAGCCCCGCCTAGTGTCCAGCGACGGATGCCTGTACGAGTTCGCCTGGGACTCGCCGCTCGCCTGTCCGCTGGCGGAGGCGCGTGGCGCCGCCAACTGCACCGTCACCAACCCGCGCACCAACTTCAGGTTAGCACTAACCCCTCTCTGATGCTTGCCCCTCCACTAACGCCGCTCGGGCTGATGGCGCACCAGACTTATGCCAGTCATGACCGCTGCCTATGTAGGACTCTGATGTAGTGAGACTCAATGCCGTGACCTTGGCAATACGCAGCTGTAAGAATCCGACGCTATAAGGCTCAGCGACTCCCGAGACTAAGACGTAAAATTGCGCGGCCGTAGAAGGCCTGTTGGCTCTAACCCTGTGATTGTATTTCTGTTTTCCGCTCAGTATGTCATGAATATATGCACTGAGCAAGCACTGCTCATCACGTCAGCTGGCGGCAGGATGCCTGGCGTCGTTCTGTGACCTGGCTGACCTGACCCGCGGCTTCCCCAGGTTTGACCTGGGGCCGCTGCGCCGGCCGCAGGGTTACACGGTGGCCCACCCGCTGGGGCGTCAGTACCAGCTGAACGTGTGCGGCCCGCTGTCGCAGCCCGGCAACTGCTCGGCCGGCTCTGGTGAGACCCGACCGGCGCCGGCGGCGCTGCCCGACCCGCTCCCCCCCCCCCCCCCCCGCCCCGCCCCGCCCACCACACCCACTACACGTCCTCCACCCGCCGCCCGCCGTCATTGGTGCGAACTCGGACGGCTTGTTGGCGTGTTCGTCGCGCGATGAACGGACATCGGGGATTGTCCTTCGCATTTCAACGGGACGTGATCGCCCGCTTCAAGAATCTTGGCCGGAGGCGTGCATGTGGTATGCATGTATAGACACAACGCGTCAGCTTTGGGACGTGAGATGTGCTCTGTGTGTTCAGGGGTCTGCAAGACAACACCGGTGAACCCATCGAACGTTTGGGACGGCGGCATGGCCAACGACCGACTCGTGTTCGATGACGGAGTGCTGTTCCTCAACTACAGGCAAGTGTTGGACGGTCCAAGATGGCTGGGGTGAGCAGCTTCACTACAAACGTACCCAAAGGCAGAGTGTGGTGAAACTCTTTCAGGGACTCGACAGCTGAAAGCTGCGCGCGGGCATGGATTCTCGTTTCCCCTACTGTTGAAAGCTGGCTCATGTCTGGGGTCGCGCCTTGCACTATAGTGCCTCCGAGAGACCGCCTCCGGGCAGAGTGTGAGCGGTGACGTGTCCACAGTGGCGGGGCCCCCTGCGGCGGCGGCGGCCGGCGCTACTCCACCGTCATCACGTTCATCTGCGGTCCGGAGAACGCCAGCCCGCAGCCGGTCGTCACCGACGACGACCTGTGCGTCATCACCGTCCACTGGCCCACCCACTTGGCCTGCGAGACGCGGGTACGCTCCGCTGGCCCGCGTCTGGGGCTTGGGGACCCGAAGGCAGCTCACCTGCAGGCTTTGGGAGGCCCGGGCGCGATCTGAGAACCCACCCGCGTTGTAGGGGAGACAGGAAAAGGTTCTCTGGGGACTTGGACACGGTCCGGTATCGTCATCCTGTAGCGTGTGTTTCAGTGAGCACCACTTGCCAAATTACACATGCGGTCATGGGCACTGTCGTTGCATTGGTTCATATGACCAGGTGGTGTTGCGATGCTGGATGACGCAGAACTGGCGGCGCTGCCGTGTGGTGTGCTGCGGGCAGCCGCTGCTGTGCCGAGCTGTGGCGACGTGGGATGCTGCGCCTGCCGCCTGTCGCGCCGCACCGGCTGACCCGCCGCCGCGTGTCCGCGCCGACCGCGCCCAGGTGGACTGCACTGTGGACACTCCGGACGGTCCGGTGGACCTGACGCCGTTGATCCGGTCCGACGGTGGACACGCCACGGCGGCGGCGGCGGCGGGCGCGCCCGGCCCTCCGGACCAGTTCCTGATCAACGTCTGCCGCCCGCTCGGCCCGGACGAGGGCCACGCCTGTCCGCCCGGCAGCGGCGCCTGCCACGTCCGCGGCACCGTCGCGCAGGTCAGCCCCGCCCCCGGACGGGGCGTCGCCTGTGACGATGTGTGGTGCTGTGTGCTCATTGGGGCATCACGTCACGGAGATTTGATGTCGCGTGTGGACGGTGCGCGGTGGGCGAGAGGCGGCGGCGGAAGCGGAGGTGCGCTGAGAACACGGCGACGGCCGTCGGTGGCGCGAGCCGGGATCACAGGCGGACGGTTGACGGGGATGGTTCGAGCGTGTGATTCACTCTGCTGAGGGACCGCCGAGTCGGGCGGCAGTTCTGCGTGGGGCTGACCGGTGCGCGTGCTCTCCGCGCAGAGTCTCGGTCACGTGCACGGCCCGCCCCGCCTGCAGTCGGGTCACGTGAGCCTGCTGTACGAGCACGGCTCTCCCTGTCCGGAGAAGCCCGGCCAGAACCTGACGGCCGAATTGCAGCTCTACTGCAACGCTACTGCCGCGGCCACGGTGAGCGGGCCGGGGCTGTGCCGCCTCGGATGGCCCTGTCGACCGGCTGCGACGCTTGTGCCGTCGGTCTTATCTCTTGGAACGATTAATTCTGCATTGTGTATTGCTTGTCGTGTTAGTTTGCAGTTTCGAAAGGGCGTGTCTCAGCGGTTGTTGTGCTGTTTTACCATACTGCGTTGAAGCTTTGGGTCCTGTTTTCCACGTCCTCGCCCACTGGTCACGTCCCGTGCCGCGCCGCCGTACGTCGTTAACGTCAGTGCGGAGCGCAGAGCGAACGGTTCACGGCCAAACCCAACCCACAAATCCTACCATCAATTGAATGCTCCACTTTGATATAACACGCGCCTGTCCAACGTTGGCTGGCTGTAGCCCCCCCCCCCCCCCACATCCCCAGCGGTACAGGGACCGGCGGTACGGTCATGTCTGGCCGTCGTCGGTCGGCGCTGCTGCGATCCCGCGCGGTGCCGGCGCCGCGCGCGGAGCGTGCCTCCTGACGGGCTCGGCCGCTGGCAGGCTCTGCCCGACCGGCCCGAGTACGCCGCCTGCCGCTACACGTTCGGCTGGCAGACGCCGGCGGCCTGTCCGCTGACGCCTGCTGCGGCGCAGGCCGCCCGGCTCTGCCGCCTCCGCCGGCCCGACGGCCGCGTCACCGACCTCAACACGCTGACGGCGCGCCAGCCGGCGGAGGTGAGCGCCAGACGTGCCCCGTGCTGGGACGTGCGCCCTGTGCTGAGACGCCCCGCACGGAGACGGACCCCGCACTGAGACGAGACCTGCACCGAGACGGGCCCCGCACCGAGACGAGACCCACACTGAGACGTGCCCCTCAATGAAGTGGGCCCCGCACCGAGAGGGGCCCCGCACTGAGACGGACCCCTCACTGAGACGAGACCTGCACTGAGACGGACCTCTCACTGAGACGGGTCCTGCACTGAGACGGGCCCTGCACTGAGACGGGCCCCGTACCGAGACGAGACCGGCACTGTGACGGACCCTGCACTGAGACGGACCCTGCACTGAGACGGGGCCCGCACTGAGACGGGCCCCGCACCGACACGGCTCCGCACCGAGACGGGCCCCGCACTGGGACGGGCCCCTCACTGAGACGGTCACCGCACCGACACGGGCTCCTCACTGAGACAAGACCCGCACTGAGACGGACCCTGCACTGAGATGGACCCCTTACTGAGACGGGTCGTGCACTGAGACGGGCCTCGTACTTAGACGGGCCTCGCACTGAAAAGGACCCCTCAATGACGCGAGGGCCCGCACTGAGACGGGCCCCACACCGAGACGGGCCCCGTACCGAGACGGGTCCCTCACTGAGACTGGTCCTGCACTGAGACGGGCCTCGTACTTAGACGGGCCTCGCACTGAGAAGGACCCCTCAATGACGCGAGGCCCGCACTGAGACGGCCTCGCACTGAGACGGGCCCCGTACCGAGATGTGGCCGTGTCCCACACTTAAAAATGTAGGGTGTGTCTTTGGGTACTAGTAGTGTTGTGATTGAGCTGCGCGTCTGGAAAAGCAGAGGTACGGCGCTCGATTCCCTGCGGCACCAGCTTTTAGTGCTAGGACGACGGCAGGCATTGCGGCCCCAGAAACCGAGTGTTTAAAAAAACCCAGTGACAACAACAGCGCGTGGTGTGACTGGGGCACAGAAACGAGGAACGTGCTCTAAACTGAGACGTGCTGCGCCCAGGTGATCACGAGACCCCTCCCCTCACGGACGAACACGAGGAGTGGGAGAGTCGCTCGATCCTGAGATACGTGCCGCGGGGTAGAGCATGGGCTTATCCTACACAGGGGAATGCTGTGGGTGTGTAGCAAGCAGGCGTGCCCCGCACAGATAAACACGGCACATGCCCGACACTTGTGAACACGGAGCACGACACATGCCGGACACTTGTGAACGCGGAACACATGTGCCCGACACCTGTAAACACGGAACACAACACATGCCGTACATAGGTGAATACGACAGATATCCCACATGCATGGACACGACACATGCCCTTATTAGGTGAACACGGCACCTGTCCGGTACAAGTGAACTACACAGATGAACCGCGGCACATGCCTAACACGTGTGAACAAGGAACACGGCACCTGCCCTACATAGGTGAACAGGGCACATGCCATATGCTGGTGAACACGGCACATGCCCTACGCAGATGAGCACGGCACATGCCATACACGGGTGAACACGACACATGCTCTACACAGGTGAACACGGTACGCATAGTTGAACACCGTTCCGCGCAGTTGTGCACAAAACACAAGCACCTCACAGGTATCAGGGGACATTTCCCGCGAAGTTGAACCGAATCTGCTCCGTCCCCCGCACAGACAAACCTCTGACCGCTCTGGCGAACGCTCGCTGTTAGATGTACCCCGGCTGCGGTACACCAGCGAGCGGTACCCCGGCTGTATGTACCCCGGCTGCGGCGAGCGGCGCCGGCCACTGACATCCAGGCGCATCACGCAACCCGGTATCTTTCGGACAAGCCGAGTGAGTTGATTCGGACATGTATTGGGGTAAGTTGGGACATGGGAGTACTGTCAGAGTTGTTGGCATAGTAAAGTGCCGAAGGATTGCGATGTTTTGCGTCGTGCGAGAAGCAAGCCGAGTATGATTGCATAATTACAAAGGGTTTTTGTCAGTGCAGGGCCACACGCAATATTCCGCACTTTTGCTTGCCTTGGTAGGAGATAGACGTAGAAAAGGAGATCGTTATATATATATATATATATATATATATATATATATATATATGTATGTATAATTCTACACTTGATGTAAGCAAGGAAGTCCTCCAGCTCCAGGTTTTTCGGTATGGTGAGCTCAGAGGTCCCATGCTAAGTCATCAACATGATGAACGCGGCTCACTGGAGCCGTTTCCATCGGTTTGTACGTTAGGCTCAAAGTGAACACTGACGTGTTGAAATTGGTGTGAGGTGGCATCGGCCAACAGAAGTCAAAATAAACCAGTCGTGAAGTGAGTAGAGCGTAGAAGTAGCAGAGCGAAGTAGAGTATGAGCAAAACAATGGTGGGTGGTAGTTTCCAGCAGAAGTAGGCATTCGTCACGAAACCATCGCCATGCATTTCAATGCACACATTTGCATCTCAACATCTGCTTATTTAAAGGCCGGGTATTGTAACCATATTGCACTTGCGGCGTCATTATTTCCGTTGTCAGCAGCTAAATGGCATTTGAAGGAAGGAAACTATAAATACACTGCCCACTAGTCGGTGTGAAGATGCACTATATTTGCATGCAGCACCAGCGCACAGGTGATGACCGTGTTGATTCGTATGACGCCAGTGTAGCGGTCTGTTTTGTTTTTCTCTTTCTTTTTTAACACCGGGCGGTCGAAAGGCTATCTGTAAAACAAATCACGGTCAATGGCGTGCCTCTCGGTAGACCGGTTTAGCAGCTGTCGTGACCTGTGGCCGCACCGGTGTACTGTGGTGGTCCAACGCGCGTTGGCTGTCCGTTCGGGAATATGACGTCAGAGATCGGCTCATGCTCTCACCGTACCGTGCAAGCCCGGCGCAGCACGAAGTTCGAATTGCAGCCGCGATTTCCTCCCGTAAAGTGATGTCATTGGAGCAGACGCTGAGCGAAGCGTCCGTGTCTTTTCCATTCAAGCTGTAGCGTGGGCTGGCCTCTCTGTTTCAAGCCCCCAGTCTGACCAAACGTATGATTAACGATGCTGTGCTCGCCAGGTACCTTGTTTGAAGTTTGTATTCGCAAACTCAACACAGTTGGGGAATTCATCTTCATTTCTGTCGGCTGAGACGTGACAAATGCGATCATACTCTGCATCATTGAGTGTTGTGCTTTCACATCAAGATTGGCAACGTTAAGGAGTACACGAAGTTCGCAGATATTATCTCGGCAAAGAGCTTGACGTCTCACCTGCACGCTTGCATCATGTTGAGGTGTCGAAGGAAGATTCCAACTGGAGTCCCTTCATTTTGATAGCGTTAAACCCTTCACGGTGTGGAGTCGATTGCTTTGCATTAGGGCCCTGGCGTTCGTTACCAGCCAGGTATAGTAGTACAAACTGAGCATCACTGTTATGCATTATTTTATGCATTATTTATGCGTTACGTTATACATTATTATTATTATACATTATAGCATGTTATTATAGGTTTAGTGAAACTTACCTAAATTGCCGATTTTTAACCCGGTTACTGGAGTACGAAGCACCTTTTGAAGTTCCCTATCGCGCCACTTATGGCCCCCTGGCCCGATAAAGTGTGTCTGTGTTCAATATCTTGACGGTGGGCACGGGCCCTTCAAGTTCGTTGGATCGTCAGGCGCTTGACCGGTCTGTTGCGTAACAGTGGTAGCGAAACAGTCGTGAACACTGTGCTTGCATAAGCGCTGTTGATTTTACATGATGCGTGGGACCGATAGTCCAGAGGCGTGGTTTCTGGGCACGTCAGGAGCACTTTCGGTCGCCGTCTGTTCGTGTCAGAAAGCTGCTGAGGTCACATTGGAGTGACGTTCTTCCAGATATTACCGCAGGTTAACCGCTCTACTGAGCATTACCAACCTCGATGTGTAAGAAGCGCTCTCAATGTTACAGCATAGGATCATAATGGCCATGTATTACCTGATAGTCGCCTCATCCCTGCATCACGCTCTGCCTGCATACTGGCAGCATGTATTCCGGACGACCATTTCTTCTGAGCTAACAGGCTACCGAGCTGCCCAGCTCATCTCCTTGAGAAGCATTCAGGTGATCTGATCTGATCGTGATCATTCACGTGATCTGGCACGCTTGCACTCAGATGACAGCGGTCGTTTGTCCCCACGATGTCAAAGTCGGCCTGCACGTGGTATTCGTGCACCGATAATGACCTTAACTCTGCAGCGTCAGCGTTACGGAACGTTGGAGCACTGCTAAGGACATAAAATACGCGAGGAATTGTGCCGCGTTAGTCACCGTGCCTTCGACTGCTCCGCATCCTCGCTTGCAGACATATGATCGAATGTGTTGCTACTTCTGTGAAAGGGTGAGGCCTCCAAAGCACGTTTTCGAACTTGATTTCCCCGAAGCGATGCGAGATTAGTGTTTCCACGAGTACATCTTAAGCCCTAACGGTGTTGCAACATGTATGTCAATAATAAGCCCTTTATAGAGGACTGGTCAGGTAATGAATAAAGTGGTATAGCGACTTTTCACAGGTCTGATTAAAGATGGCTGTCGGTGAATCCAGGCCGTTTAGCAACGAACGAACAGCCTGGTGTATGAAGCACAAAGACAATTCTGAATTGATTGCCCTTTTAGAATGGCCATTGCAGTGAGCGAATGTTACAGTGAACAAAGGGCAAAAAGGCTGTACAGAAATTGTAGTCATTTGGTGAAGCTAAAAAACCTCAGCCAGAAGGCGGAATGATGTATTTATTACGTCACGACTTCTTGCCGTGGGATGTACAATAAAGGGAGCATAGGCTTTTGAACTACTCACATGCTGTTGGTTTCGGATGCAGTAGGTGTTCTTAGAAATGCGTATTTTGAAAACTAACCAGGAAATATCTCACGAAGTTCACATTTGCGCCATGTTTCATGAGCGGATCAATCCCTCGCTGAGACAAACCAAATGACCTTAATAACTTAGTCGCAAAAAATGTTGATTTCGTCCTATTGTCGTCATTGAACGGCAAAGTAGGTCCGTTGCAGACATCGAGTTAAGCATGTTTGCGTTCCCAGTGTTATTGCGAGAGTAGGTCGGAGAGTCCTTTGGATGTGCGTCAGCCTGCCGTGTCTGCCGCCGACCAGTGTGCCTCACAAACTGTGTGCCTGATGTGACCAGACGACCAGCCGTCGGACCTGTTTACAAAGACGCATGGCGTTGCAAAGACGTGGGGCACTCATCCCACCATATTCGTCCCATTCTGAGGATAACATCTGGCGTATCGCCCCCTCTTCGCTGCAGCCTTATGAACCTGATGGCGTGCTTACCTGACCGCGGCGCATCGGAAGCTTTGCTGGGGCAGCTGTGACCTTCGGCTTGCGCGTGACCTTGACCGTGACCCTCGCTGCCAGGTGATCCACGGCGGCCGGCCGGTACGGCTGCGCCTGTGCGGCCCGGCCCAGCCGTGCGGCGGCGCCGTCTGCGTGGCCAACATCAGCTACGGCAGCCTGGCCAGCCTGGCCGTCCAGACCGACGGCGACCGGCCGACGCTGCGGTACTCGGACGGCGCGCCCTGCTCGTCAGGTACGGCTCCGCTGCGGTGCTCCGGCGGCGCGCCCTGCTCGTCAGGTACGGCTCCACTGCGGTGCTCCGGCGGCGCGCCCTGCTCGTTAGGTACGGCTCCGCTGCGGTGCTCCGGCGGCGCGCCCTGCTCGTTAGGTACGGCTCCACTGTGGTGCTCCGGCGGCGCGCCCTGCTCGTTAGGTACGGCTCCACTGCGGTGCTCCGGCGGCGCGCCCTGCTCGTCAGGTACGGCTCCGCTGCGGTGCTCCGGCGGTGCGCCCTGCTCGTCAGGTACGGCTCCACTGCGGTGTTCCGGCGGCGCGCCCTGCTCGTTAGGTACGGCTCCGCTGCGGTGCTCCGGCGGCGCGCCCTGCTCGTTAGGTACGGCTCCACTGCGGTGCTCCGGCGGCGCGCCCTGCTCGTTAGGTACGGCTCCACTGCGGTGCTCCGGCGGCGCGCCCTGCTCGTTAGGTACGGCTCCATTGCGGTACTCCGGCGGTGCGCCCTGCTCGTCAGGTACGGCTCCGCTGCGCCAGCTGAGCACCACTGAGCGATGCGCGTGGTGCTCTAACAGTCGCACCGCACGAGTGGTGCGGCTATCCTGGACGCCGGGTCCCACCGCACGGCCGGTAGGCACTCTGACATATAGAGTCCCACTGGGCGACGGGTGGGATGCCTAGACACGCTGAAATCTCGCGCATGACAGGCGCAGCACTCCTGAACGCGGAGTCCTGCCTGCCAGACACTACACTCCTGTACCGGACCTCCCTGTGTGACAGGTGCTGTGCTCCGGTGACTGCTGTCACGAGTTTTCCCGCAGGGTGTGTATGCGCATCAGTATCCGAGCTACGAGCATGGAGTGGGATGGCATCGGAGGAAAATTTATGATATGTTGTACTGCATTAGTTTCCGTCCGTGCGCCATGCGCTCGTTTGATGACGAGTAACTACAGGGACGCCACTATTATCATGATTAGGCTACCACGTCATTACATCATCAGCTGTTGTCATGCAATGTGTAAAAATATCGGTGCACTGTAGAATATCCTTTGTCCCAAGTGTGAACTGGTTTCGGATATCGACCCAGCTCGTCTGCTTTTTACATCAGACAGCGTGGAGAGGCCGTACTTACCCTTTATGCACTGCACATCATGGTTTGTGCGGACGTTTGGCAAGCACTTGAAACCAAGCCTGTGACAACACACGCGCTAGTACGCACTGATCTGTCCGTTTTGCACCAGGCGTTTAGCAGACACTTGACACCAAGCACGTCAGAGAGGAGCACCACTTTACGTCGGGAAGTCGTTGATCACGGATGTGCACGCTCTCTGTTCGTGACGTTCGTGATCTCGGCGTCGGTGATCGGCTTGCGTGGACTTTGATCTGCTCTCAGGCTCTTGCACAATGCCCCGGTGACGCCATGCGGTTTGGTTGACCAGGATGCAGCGTTCTGTGGGGTCTCACTACCATTGAACGCCGCTTCAGAGGTGCAGCCGTCTCTCTCGTGTTGGATGAGGGCACACCTTGAAATTGGGGGACGAGCTAGAATCGAGGGGACAAGCGGGTCTGAAAGCGGTGTCTTTGTACGGCAACATGCAGAGATGGGGCCCATGGCTGGAACGCGGCGGAAGGCTCGCCGTTTTGTCCTGGGGCCCCTGCCTGAGATAGGGCCTTCAATTGCCTTCTTATATATCCTGTTATTCATGTCTTCTTGCATCGTCAAAAGGTCTTGACCATTTCAAGAGGCCTTGTGACATTCGGAGTCACGTCCCTGTCCCTGTCCAGTAAATAGGCTCCGGACCGAATGGGGCCCCTTGCCGACACAGGATTCCCGTTCGGCGCTGTGGGTCTCCCTGCCGCCGCGGAGGCTTCACGTTGTCGCGTGGGCCCCGACTAATGCAAGAGGCACTCAGGCTGGCACGCGCGGGTCCCGGCCCTGTTCGTGCCGAGGAGATGAGCCCCCAGGCCTGCATGGGTCGGTCCGGTCGCTGGTCTTGATCTCTGGCCGACATGGGACCGTTTGGTCCCAGGGGACCCCATTGGCGTAGGTGGTCCCTGACACATTCAAAGTCCTGGCCCACATGTCCGGGGTCCCTTAATACGACGTCCCGTCAGCTTTTCGGACCCTTCGCTCCCTGCAATCGGCCTCTTGATCGTCAGTCCGAAGGGTCCGAAGGGCCCCTCGGGATCTAGGGAAGCACGGGCCCCTTATGCCCCATGTGCTCCCCGATTGAGGGTGATAAGTTCTCACCTGCCGCCCTCTCCCCCCCCCCCCCCCTCCGTGGCTACACTCATGCGCTACCGTGCCGCTGCTGCTGCGTGGCTCGAAAGCAGCGGTAGTCACGCACTCAGGGTGCCACTAAGGCAATTTTCGTGGGAAATGGACACTAGGGAACGACCTGTTGGGATCAGCAGGGCTGAAGGTGATCTATTGTTTCTATAGTCTTGAAGCCATCAGCACCTCCCGGAATTCATCAGCCCAAGGCTTTAGAAACCATTGGCCAGTGGTAATGCAGTTTCAGGGTGAAACAGACACGTGCCAGAGGCGATGTCAGCTTTTTCGGTTCAGGTTATACCGGTTTGCTGCAGAGGCTTTATCGCCTGCACCATGGCGCCGCGTTTGGACATGCGAAATGTCAAGGCGTGTGCTATGGCTACAGTCCGGCTCATGCAAGAGTATTGTGGAGGAAATGCGAGGTAAGAGGCTAACAGGCGATTTCAAGGTCAGTAGCCAATGTCAGTGAATGACAAGGGAGGTCATGTTGAAGTTGTTTTTTCGGCGCGTACCCTCATCAGCGTGGCCAGCAGTGATGACTTCTGAGGAGCAGGCTGCGTGCCACCTACCGAGCTTGGGAGGGGGGATGCTGGCTTCGATGTGGCCGGGTGCCCCCACCCGGGCAGCAGTCAAAGTGTCCGCGACATGGACAGCAGGCACGCAGAAGTCGTGCGACTCTCCGTCATTGGCTGCCTAGAACGCTGATCACTTATGATTACTTTGAACGTTGCAAACAAAGAGCTGTTTCAGCGCGCAAGCATTTGTGTATTCTGTATAACTGTGTGGCAAGCCGCCATGCATTATTTCCTCCTTCATTGTCAAAGCAGATCGCTCAGTTTTTATCGCCGACGGCATTGGCTCCGGTGTGTTTCCGTGAACCGGTCTGTCGAGGGAACCCGGTGACCTCTGGCGCGTTTCCAATGTTTGTATGAGCGGGCATGAGCACTGTCGTGCCTGCCGGTGTCGAGTCGCCCGGTGGCCGGGCCGATGGCGGTTCTCACCCGTCCGGTTGAGGGACTGGACCGACAGCGATCCCATCTATTCCTCTGGCGGCACGGACCGCACCCGATCCGCGATCTCCGAAGCACTTGATGCTGGCGGGACGTCGTCCCGATTCGCTGTGACGTTTCGTCGACGGCTTCGCGGGGATCACCACCGATACCCTGGCGCGGCCGTGAGCGTGCGGTCGCAGCTCGGTACACGCTGTGCAGATTTTCCCGGGCGACGGACGGACGGCGAGGGGAGGGGGCGTCGCGCCACCAGCGCCAGCGCCAGACCACGAGCCCGACGCGCGGTCGGCGTGGTGCTGCCGACCTTCGGCGGGTATTGCGCGGCACGCGATGCCGCCGGGCTGCGCGCGGCCAGCCCGAGGCGGGAGTGCGCGCCTGCCAGCGAGCGGCCCAAGTCGCCGTCGGCTCGCCGCTCCTCCGACGGCCCGGTGCGGCGACCGGGCCGGTCGAGCCGCTGCGGTGGGGCCGTGCCTGTCGGCAGACCATGAGGCGGGTGTCCGTCCGGACGCCGACCCGGGGCCACGGCGGCAAACGTCAAGATTTGGGATAGAAATGGCGCCGTTCACCGACGATTTCGGGCCCTGACGTTTGGACGCCTTCGCCAGCGTGGTCTCCCATGCATGGAAAGATTTGATCTGCCTCTGATTTCGGTTTCCCTCGTCGCTTCGGTGGGGCAGACATGGCACGTTCTGCTGAGGCGGTCCTGCCAAGCCGCCCTGGGGGCAGGGACGCGGCGCTGGAGGGCGAGCTGCCCGGACACGGGGCGGCCCGGCGGCCCGACAGCCGGATCAGCGTGGCGCTCGCCGTGTAATTCCCAGCGCGGCAAAGCTGTACGGCACCGCACGGGATGGATCCGGATGCTGCGCGGCGTGGGCGCCCGTCACCTGAGTTGGGTGGTCTGGGCCAGCCCGGGCCGTGTCCGGGCCCGGCTGGGCGCCGGCCCGTCGCAGCGGCGTCGGTCGGTCGTTGTGGGACCCGCCGCCGTGGGCACGGCAGCGCGTCGGCAGCGGCGGCCCGGCCCGGCCAGGCGCCAGGCGCTGTCACGTCAGCCACCGCACCTCGCGCCGCGGGAGCCCTTTTCACCAAACACCCGTCTCGAAAGTGCTGTACCGTGCGCCCTCCCCCCCCCCCCCCAGCGTGAGGCCCCTCCTGCGGCCTACTGCGACCATGAACTGGTTTGTAAAGCGCATGGCATTGATGGACGTCTTGAAATGCCTCCGTGTAAGCCGTACCTGCCAAAAAATTTGTTCTTGATTCCACGTGTTGTATAACCAAGGACCTGTGTCCAAAACCCATTTTCTCAGCAGGAGGCGGCGTGGCTCGGTCGGTAACAGCCCGAAATCCCACGTGGGAGTTCGTGAGCTCGTGGCTCCAGCGGTGCAGGCAGGGTCTTGGTGTTAGGAGGTATGGAGCACAGGGTTAACAAAGGGCTCCCTGGTGGTAAAAGCACGCCCCGCAAAGAAACCTGATGACCTTAAATTTGAGTTGGCACGATTTTCCCCGTTACATTGTTCTGCGTACCTGATTCAGGTAAATGGAGGCCAGAAGTCTCTGAGATAGGTTATGTTG